TTTTCCATGTTTTCGGTTCCTCGGCTCCTCTTTCGCTCGCATTATTTTATCGTCTTCCCCGTTTCTATCTCCCTGTCGCAATCGTTCCGAAAGTTTTACCATACCAAAAGTCTGAATTGTCTCAGGGATAGGTTATTTTTCGCCCCTGGTGGAGCACGTAAGGATAAAAGAAACTGTCACTGGCGATCTCTCTGGTGCTGGATAAAGCGATCGTACGAACACCATCTTTCATCGCGAAATGGAAAAACAGATTCGTCAATAAAGAGACCATCGATATCTCTGATTGTTTCCTTCGAACATTTCTATTTCCATTTTTTTTTTTTTTTTTTTTTTTTTTTTTTTCGAGTGAAAAGTATGTTTGCATTCCTATAGTTGTCTTACGAATTCTTGTTTAATAACAATTGTGAAAAGCTACTGGAGAAAAATTAATATTCTACGAGAAACGAGTTTGTTAGGTGAAAGATATATATACGATTCCGCCGTAATTTCTCGTTATTCGGGGAAATATTTGAAATAAGACTTGTTCTACCTCGATAAGGACATTTTATAATGTCGCTAGATTTGTCTAGATGTTTCAGATATTTCACGGTCACCTCTATCTTCTTAAATGGAATTTTTTCCTCTTTACGCATTAATCGATGCAATTCGAAAAGGTATAAATAAATGTCGAAGTATTATTAATCCGGGAGATATTTTTAATTTTACAAAATTAGTAAAAATTATAGTTTTAATTTTATAAAATCTGTACATGAGAGAATACAAGAATACTTATCGTATTTCATACGACATATTTACAAATAAATTCGATTTTTATTAATTCATGGATAGAAAAATGTACAATATGATTCTATTAAAAAAAAGAAAAAAAAATAGAAGTGATCTTGAAGTCATTAGAAGAATGTTCCACTCGAAACATAATAAATCCTGCTTGAAATATTTTTTACAATAACGAATACGTTTGGAGAGAATTGTCCGTAAAAGTTCAAATGGAACACTCGTTATATTCGCATTTCGATCGATAGTCAAATCCCTTCTTCCCCAAATTTATTTCATTTTCATCGAGATAGCGATAAGCGGCCGATTCAGAGCGATATAAAGGGTAGTAAAGAAGTTGAAACAAGAGAAGTTCTGAGAATTATCAGCAAACAGCAGACGAGTAACGGAGCTGCGGGTCAATTTTCTTGAAATATTTAGATTCCGAGCGAGCGAGCGAGCGGCAATTACAATCCGAGTCAGTTACGGTTCGTGAAAAGTTGTCTGCCGATTGGCAAGTTTATAAGACACACTCGCGCCGATGAGTTAGACGATGAGCATTACGAAAGTTAAATGAGAATGAGTTAGGCTGGCAACAAAGCGATAAGCTCCGAGTTTCGACTGGTTCTTGAATCATGCCGATAATAACACACCCGTTCTCTGCGAATCTTCTAAAATTCGATGCCCTCCTCGTAAACCACGGAACCTCGAACACCGAATGGATGAACAAACGAGTATCCACTCGCGCAAACGCTATTATTCATTACGGTTCGGATATTTTCCGACAAATGAAATTACGGGCAAGTTGACGGGAAGTCGATCGCGTGTAATCCAACTTCCTTGAAATAATAATCGTTACGTGAAATCACGAACTAACGTAGCGGTTTGACGTGGTTTATTGAATCATTTTCATGTCAATTACAGTGGAACGCGAACGGCCAACTTGAACCATCGTCTGCCGAAAGTGTTTTGCAATCTGCGAGTTTCTTACTTCTGAATCTGGCGTGTCACGTACTCGGGAAATATGTCGTTGAAGCTTTCGTTGTGCTTCTATGTAAATGTGTTCACCGGAAAAGAGCTTCCCGGAGGCGTTGACGCAACTTTCTCTGGATACATATCTCGCTATCGGCGATAAAGATCGTCCAACGAGATTCCTTCTTGTTTGAATTTTCTTATTACTAGATATACACGGTGTCCGTAAAGTGTTTTCACAATTTCAGAAATTTATCACAACGGCAAATGAAAAGACAGGTAAGTGGAAATTATTACAAAATGAGACGTATATATTTAAGTTTTTTCTGTCTTATTTAATATACCTTTATATGGGTACCATTAGTTGCACAAAACACATCAAGATGATACTCGATACGATTTCTTACGAGATCGATGATTTCCTCAGATATTCTTGGTCGTCCACTTTTCCTTTTATCGAATGTTGTCTCTGTCTCCATAAATTTCTGTGCCCGAATTAATAGACGTGACGGTGGATCTCTTTCATACTTAGTTCTGAAGTTTCGCTGAATCTGCAGATCCAATTTGGTTTCAATAAACCATGATACACACTGTGCCTTCTCTTGAGGAGTGGCCATTTTGTATGGGATTCATTTAATAGTATCTAATTTGTCGACAGGGTACCTGAAATGCAATGTGATAAAAACTTTGATAACCACTGAGTACATGGAACAAATCTGACGAAGATATCTCATCAATTGTCTTTGTAATAAATTTTTGAAATTATAAAGAGACTTTACGGACACTCACACGAGGTTATGTTAAAGATATCGTGTATCGAACAAAGGTATGGGACCTCACTTGATGAGGGTATGCTGCAGCGAACATGGCAAGAAATCGAGTACCGTATTGACGTGCTTCGTCCAACTAACGAGGCAAAAAAAGTTCAATACGTACGTCCCATTTTGTAATAATTTCCACTCACCTGTCTTTCCATTTGTCTTTGTAATAAATTTTTGAAATTGTAAAGAGACTTTATGAATACCCTGTATTACTTCGTCCGGCACTGTAACTTCAAGTTGAACTTCAAGTTCTTGAATCATTGATCGTAGACCGCGGCGATCGAAAGAGCGAAACCAGTAAAAATCGATGGCGATCGGGCAGGAGAAGGTGATCGGAAATTCTATTAATATTCATCAACTATTCGAAATACCCTGAACTTTAATTATCCTCGAGGGCTAGCCAACCCTATCTTCGCCCCTAAGTAAAGCGAAATAGAACGTTGAATTAAGTAAGACACGATAAAGCGGTCGTTAAGAATTAACGAGCCGCGGTCTGTACGATGGCCGATCGCCGAGGCAATTTTCAATTGGCTTACGAATCGATTCCGCGAGCACAGTTATCACGGTTCAAAAAATCTTGCTCCCTTTCACGGGGAACAGGTGGAATAAAACGTTCTCAAAATTGCCGTTTGTCCGCGTCTTTCGATTACCGAGCACGGCGCGAGTAGCTTCGTTACGCAGCGCCATTACACGGCGGCAATTCAACCGTCCCGTCCTCTTATTTTCCATGCAGTGCGCCGGCACGAATTGGATTTTTACCAACGAGGAAGTAGGCTGAAGAAGAGAAGAAAAGGGTGGTGGGAGAAAGGAGAGGATGAAAGAGAGTCGGAGCGTGAGTTGAAGGGATAGCGGTAGATTCAAGGCGACCGCTGCCTCGAATCGAATAACAGAGCTACCCTCGGTCTGCTGCCTCCTCGCCGGAATAATAAGGACTCCATTCTCTCGAGATCGAGAAAATCGATCGCACCCTATCACGTCCATCGCGCATTATTGCCGCCGTCTGTTTCCGACAACTCTCCCCCATCCACGCCTGATTGTGGTAACGCTTGACAGACCTACCCTCCCGGTAGGTGTTGCCTTTGGTACCTACCGTTTGCGATCGTGTTCGTATCTTTCGGCTACCCTTCAACCTTTCCAGACGCGATCCAACAGAGGAAAAAAAAAAAAAAAGAAGAAAGGAAAACAGACCACACTCGCAAGAATAACACACTCCCCCTCGATGAAATTACCTCTTTCACTCTGTGACTATCGAAAACTGTCCGTTTCTCTTAGCGAGAAAGTTTTGTTCACACAGCTCCGTTTATTAGGTACTCTCGCTGATCAAAGAGCAAAGTTGAGCGGGGGAGTTTCTTTCGTTGGTAATTGTTTGTAAGTTTGCAAGAATTCCTGCTACCAAGCGAATTAACAAACTGTGCGAAGAAATAGATACGTAGCGGTATATCGTATAATATATTTACTGTATGGAACTGTACAGAGTGTTTCACATTTCGCGAGATGTTTGCAACAATGTTGTGAGAAGAAAGTTGTAAATCAAAATTTAATTGTATCGAGTGTGTTATATTCCAAATTTTAAAAATATTCTATGTATATACTCTGAACTACACTTGAATTTTATAAATGGAACTATGCGAAGAAATAGATATGTAGCGGTATATCGTATAATATATTTACTGTATGGAACTGTACAGAGTGTTTCACGAGATTTTTTTAAGATGTTTGCAACAATGTTGTGAGAAGAAAGTTGTAAACCAAAATTTAATTGCATCGAGTGTGTTATATTCCAAATTTTAAAGATATTCTATGTATATACTCTGAACTACACTTGAATTTTATAAATGGAACTATGCGAAGAAATAGATATGTAGCGGTATAATATATTTACTGTATGGAATTGTACAGAGTGTTTCGTGAGATTTTTTTGAGATGTTTTGCAACAATGTTGTGAGAAGAACGTTGTAAACCAAAATTTAATTGTATCGAGTGTGTTATATTCCAAATTTTAAAAATATTCTATGTATATACTCTGAACTACATTTGAATTTTATAAATGGAACTATGCGAAGAAATAGATATGTAGCGGTATATCGTATAATATATTTACTGTATGGAACTGTACAGAGTGTTTCGCGAGATTTTTTTAAGATGTTTTGCAACAATGTTGTGAGAAGAACGTTGTGAACCAAAATTTAATTGCATCGAGTGTGTTATATTCCAAATTTTAAAAATATTCTATGTATATACTCTGAACTACACTTGAATTTTATAAATGGAACTATGCGAGGAAATAGATATGTATATCGTATAATATATTTACTGTATGGAACTGTACAGAGTGTTTCGCGAGATTTTTTTGAGATGTTTTGCAACAATGTTGTGAGAAGAACGTTGTGAACCAAAATTTAATTGTATCGAGTGTGTTGTATTGAAAGTTTAAAAAATATTCTATGTATATACTCTGAACTACACTTTTATAAATTTTATAAATGGAACTATATAATTTTTAATGTAACACGTACTTTTTTTTGTTTTATGTTCATAAACAAAATACACTAGGAAACAATGTAGATTAAGAGGTGTTTACTAAATATGAGACAAAAAAATGCATGCTAGTTTCACTGTCGTTCACGTATCGTGGCAACTATTTTTCAGGTATTTGCAAAAAAAAAAGTTTTCACTCTCTGTTATATTTTACGATAGAAAAAAAATTATGTTCATTTGTAAGATTTAAAATGACCTTCAGTTTACTATAAAAATAAAATCTTTCAAAAATTTTTATTGTATGTGATACATTTCATTTCCTTATTGTATATAGTACATTTATATACAGTTAAATTTTAGTTTGCAGCTTCCTTCGCAATGTTGCCGCAAATATCTCGAAAATCGTGCAGAACATCATGTATGAAACACTCTGTATATTATTTTGTAAACGTAATTTTCGTTAAAAACGTTTCTAACGATGAATTTAAAAACACTAACAACAATTTAATTACCGAATTCGAAATGTAGAGAAATTTATTAAGTGCAACAATTGAATATATATTAATCGCTGTTTTATTTCGCTAATTCATGTTTATCATTGTGGTATCAGTTAAACTATGTAACATCTCTAAATATAGATTTCATTTCTGGTATTTCTTTTCTGGTACTTCCAATACTTATATGTTTTAAATATATTTTAAATAATATATGTCAATTACGTGGTAATGAGATGACTTTGAATACTATCAAGTATCAAGATATCTTTGAACGTTTTATTCGGAAAGATATTACGGAATTAATATCTCCCCAATTCTTGATAGAATGAAGTAACTTTAAACTTTAATACGTAATCTAGCAGAAGATTAGCAAATACCACAGTATCTTTCCAATTTAAATCCTACCTCAAGAACGAGCATTTATTTTTTATCAATTTCCGATCAATTTAACAATTTTATTCAACTCAATAAACGAAGGCACAATTATTAATATCCGGTTGCGTAGATATACTTTTTCGATGTGGATTAATTTAAGTTAGCCTCCACAGAGCATTTAAATTTTTTCCGTGCAACTTAACAAACAAAAGATTACACTACGCCCTGTACGCCGCGAATGAAAATTAATTTTTATCGACCTTTGCTGCGCTGACAGAAATTCTCGCAGCATCCTCCTAGCTAGAATACGTGACCCAATGTGCCGAGCCAGGCTTAGAACAACTCTTTCCTTTATTAAGTTAACTCTACATGCACGCAATCCATTCATTTATATATTTCACGTGAGCTTCGTTCGTATAAGTAATTGTGTCGTTTAAGAATCCAAATGAAGTTGGATTAATGACAATGACGAACAATTCCCGGTGATTATGCGGCACGAATTACAGTTTAACGAAATCAGTTTAACTCGGCATTCATAGAATATTGCTGGGAAGAAACACCGGTCGAGCCATTAAATTTCTTTTTTTCTCTTTTCTTTTGAAACATTTGAAGAAGCAAATCAATCAGTTTCGGCCTGTAATTGATCTATCTTTAGAATCTATTTTTCTCGTGAATTATTTTAAAACTCTCACAGCACAAAAATTAAAAATCGCGAAGACGTGACACCGTGCTGCTTCCAATGAAATGCAAATATTAGGTTATTTATAGAAAAAAAAAAAAAAAAAAGAAAAAATAGTACAGAAAGCTTGCGTTTAGACGTAGGAAATCGATAAAAATATCACGAGTCTCATATTTCTCTGACGGAGATAACTTTATTGCGCCGATACTGTGATTGTTGCAGCTTTCATATTTTCGACAAACATACCACTGCATACCTGTAGATTTGGTTATTCAGCTTCAGTTCGAAATTCTCTCGGTCGTAAAAGCCACCACTATTGGTGAAATACATCGACAATACCAAGGGGAGGAGTAAAACAGGGATGAAACTTTGCAGCGTGCACAGAGTATTCGGAACGTAACGAGGACAATATCGAGGTAATTTGTGAGTAATAAGAATGTGTGTGTATGCGTGGCGTGCACCAATTTTCTTTGGTTCAAACGTGCCATTTATAAATACTCAATTAATTAAACGCGATGTTAATAAATTCCGATGTGCAAATGAAGTACGAATGTATCTCTGGCAACAGCTACGTAAATGAAAATGAAAATTTGATTATTGTCATTCGTTCAATTGACGAAGCCGTTTCAATAAGCTCCTTTTGGTAGCTATAACAGAATCTTCATAACGTATAACAATTATAATTTTATCATTTTTCGTCTTTTTCTTCTCGTGCATCTATAAAAAATATCACAATCGAACATTATGCATAGTTATATTAATTTTTTCTTGAAAATACAAACATCTTCTTCGCAATTGAAATTATTACGGATTCAAGATTGAAGCATCCTCTTTAAAACTTGATTTTTTGTCCTCCTTTTGTTAAATTTTGAATATTGGCGACAAAAATTTGAAGAAACATTTCGTCGTTTGAATCTAAAGCAACGGAGAACATAACTGTGAAAAATAACCAATAACAATGAAAAATTGTCAATAATTCAAACAGCTTTATTTCATTTTAGCAGTGGGAAGTTTGTATTTCTCGAAGATGACTTTAGCATCGTGTAGCGGGTGGGAGAGTATATAATACTTTTTTCTCGAAAATTGTAAAAATTCAGACAGATTTCAATTCACTATGGTCTTGAAAATTGAAAATTTTCTCTTTACAACGATCCCTCAAAAATCGTTCTACGAGTTTCTCTTTTCACAATTTTCTTTTTTTAATTTTAAATATTCAGATCGGATGACAAAATGTTAGGATTTCTTGATTTTTTGTCGTTTAACCTTAATACTCAATCATTTAATGAAATGGTGAATAAAATCGTCGAACTAGTTTTAGATGATGATCGATCTAATTACGAATACGTTTTTCTCAATGTTTCTATATGTGTTTAAATTTTTACAGTTTTCAGAAAAGGAACATCCTCACTTTCTCATTCGCTGCATGATATAAAATCATCTTCGAAAAAAACGAAGTCAAAATAGAGGCTTCATACTTTAAAATGAAACCAGGTGAATCGTTTATATGATCTTTTTACAAAGTTATATCAGTATTAAATTATCGACAATTTTTCGTTGTCACTGGCACAGTTGTATTATTGTGTTACTCACTATATTTAAAGTTGAATAAAATCGACAAAAGTTTTAAGAGATCATTTAAGACCGTGATAGACTTAGTAATGAAAAGAATCTCTTAATGAACTTACAAATGTTTGAATTTATAGAATTTTTTAAAAAAAGAAGTGATCTTTGTTCTTCCACTTGACACACAATGAAAAAAACATCTGTGAAGAAAAAGAAATCCAAGATTATGAAAGTAGAGGCTTTAGTCTTTAAAATAAATTGAAGTTTTTAAATTTTTTTTTACGATATCATAGCAGATTAAACATTAACAATTTTCCAAAGTAAATTCCTGATTTATTAATTTAGTGTTCAAATATTTATGCGTCGCCCCAAGTAATATTTTTAAGAAGTGCTTTCAAGTGCTATTACAAATTCATAGAGATTAGAGTGGTTTTTTTCCGGCTTTGGAACTCGGCTAGGTTTAATGTTTCCTCTGCGTGTGATTGACAGAACGTTTAATCGAGTTCGAAGTTGTCAAAGTGAAACGAAAGTTGATTCATTCAAGCTTTTTACTTAGTCATACGTTGAGATGAAAAGTTTGAAACGTCGAACGTACGACCTTATATAAAATGAAATCGTCGTTAGATTAAAACAGTGACTCGGAGCAAGAAAAAAAAAAAAAAAAAGAAAAAAAAAACAGAAAATACGTCTCTCCATCTGGGAGAATGCGTATAAACGTGTTCTAACTTCACAAAAAAAGGAAACACGTACGTACATCTTGTCCCTCGTATAATTTCATAAGATTAACCAAATTTGACAATTCGAAACTATAAATATTTTTCGCGTGCGTGTTCGTGTAATTTCTGCGTGTAAAAATTGGCCCGGCAACACAGATTAAAGGTGCACTATGACCTGGAATTTTCTACCGCCAGATCTTCGAAGGATTAAGTAAGTGTATCTGTCCTGAACGAGATGGAAGGCGTAAGAGGATGGCAAGAGGCGTGAGATTGTATAAATGCAACGAGGCAACCCCCTCCTCCACTTCCTTGCCGTATTTCTTTTGCGAGGAAAGGTTATTTCACGTAGTCTACTCGTAATCCATCCGTTCACTTCGGTAAGGACTGTATCGATCTGCGCTGCGCGTTGCAGCGCGCATTCGTATACGGAATGGATATGCGTCATTTATGCGTGAACATGTAGGCAGTTGCGATGAATTCCTGGTCCTCGTCGTTTCCATTGGCCAGCCGTTTATTAAAATATTAACGGTGCAATTAGCTTCGTGCATTGAAGTTAAAGTCATAAATATTCGCGAATTTTATTATAACCGTGCAAAATATTATTTTTCGTATAATTCGAGACGGACGCTATTACGCGAATATCATTGTATGTAGACGGCTGCTTTGTAACGTATCGAGCTTGTTAATACGCCGTTACATTTTCCCTTCAAAATCCAACGATTCACAACAAATCGTGAATCTGCTCATTGTATACTGTCAGTTCATACGTGAAATATGAAACCTTTTGCAAATTAAAATAAATACACGCGGTGCATGGTATAATTACATGCGATTTAATACAGACGAATTGTATCGATGAATTAAAAATGTTTTATCGTAAATATCGAATTGGAAGCTACTTTCTTTCCAGTTTCGTATTTCGAGCTGGCCGAGTAGATTTACGCAGTTAAAATAATTCTCCGGGGGATGGGCAACCCTCTAAGCTAATTATTTTAACGAAATTCAAGTGGCATTTCATCATCGCCAGAATCGACGACGCGAAAACATGCAACGCCACGTGTAAAGCGTAGACTCAGAATCAGAAGCGAAAGGATTCGTATTTTTGGAAGCGGAATAATGCGTTTACATTCCTCGACAAGTTTTTCGTGAAATTCTGTCGTCACTAGAACTTCAATCTTTAACAATGTTGGGACGAAAGGAGCTTTGAAATAATTTTAGGAAAGTTTGATTAATTAATTGCAAAAATTGCTTCCTCTGCTTTACTTTGTGAGAAGTTTGACTTCAAAAAAGAAAAAAAAAAAAAAAAAAAAAAAAAAAAAAAACAAGGAAACATTTGAGAGCAATGCTTACCTTGCTTTAATTACTCAGTCCGCGAGGGAAGATATTAGCTGATGCACTTTTATAACTTGCATTCTCCGAAAGAGAAATAAAACTGAAGAAGTTGGCGACCAACTATGCAATTCCGGTGGAAATTTAATTCGCTTGCCGATGCAAATTTTGTGCTCGATATTTATTAACGTGACGTAATAACAAGATATATTACTCTACTTTCTGATAAAGTATACAATGTGGATGCAACAAACAACAATATCGGTACAGCAACAATAACAATGTGAATGTAATAACAACGACATCATGTTATCTATCTGTGCTTGTGTCCACCGTAAGTACCACCAGAGTGATCATTCCCTCCATGATTGTGAACCTCCGCGAAAAAACCACCGTGAGGATGAGAATGATATTTCACAGTTCTCACGTTGCCGCCAGGTTCGTGAAGGTGATATTCTCCCTCGACTTCTTTCCCTGCGATTTAAAATGTTTTTTATTAATCGTTCTCAAACATCCAAGTTCTTCTTCTTACATTCACGTCGCGTTATTACCCCCTTCGTTGCAAAACGAAGGAAAGAATCCTGGAATTAGAAACTAAGTCGACAAACAAACTTGCCACCAGTTTTAATTAAGAGGAAGTTTCACTGTCCAATTAGTTCGAGATTCTAATTAAGAGCACGAAATCGAGTCCCGAGGTACGTTTTCTTGTCGGCGCTCGATCAATGTTTCCAGCGTGCTATAGTAACATACCGTCGCGATGCTCCTTCTGTCCATGGTAGTCCTTAGTGTGTTTATCATCCACACCATAAGCGAACTTATACTTGGGATGAGCCTTGTAGTCGTGCTGATGGTGGCCGTGTTTGTCTTTCCAACTGATCTCCTCGTGATGGCCCTCGACAGGACCAGAAAAATGATGAAAGGAATGCGCGTGACCATGACCATCACCTGAAATCAAATCACTATTAAATTTCAATTAATTGTTCGACCGCGGATCTGTATGCAAAGGCTCTGTGTTCGTCTTGGTACAAATATAAATTTGCATAAATGACTGTAGATCTTACCTTCGTGATGCATTTTTGGCCGGGCACTAGCAAAGACGATCGTGAAGCAGACAAACACAATCAGATTCTAAAAATAACGAATAAAACGAGAAAAAAATCAATTTCCAATATATATGCAATTTATGGAAAACTCAAAGGTGCAAAAATACACAAAGTGGTGTAGTAATTGTAATAATATGGAGAGGAGGCGACTTTCAAGAAAACTTGAAAGTGCACAAACATTCACAGTCGAAAAATCACTAAAGTATTTCCAACATTAATCGCGAAAATCGAACGTTAAAAGAGCACGGTAGAGGTTCATCTTAATCGCATATTCCAAGTAGAAAAAGGAAGATCGTTACTCTTTTTTTTTTGGAGGTGTGATGCTCTAGAAGAACATACTGCGCCCCTACTTTACGATTACGACTTTGTAATACTTCGTCGGTGATCCCGTGATCCGTTTCAAGGAACGTGGCCGCCGCACTCTTTAATCAATAACATCGTGAAACTTGAAATTGGAACAATCGATCGCGTTCGATCGGTCTACGAGCATTCCTTCGTTCGACGTAGTAATCCTTGTTTTATTGTTCCCCAACGAAATTTATATCAATCAAACGTATCGATCCAATGTTATCTTTCAACAATAATCTCGAGTCATTCGTTCCGAAACGGAACGACGCGCCCGCTATTAATTTCCAACACTTTGTAATCTCTACCTGTATCAATGCCATGCTTGCTCCTTCGAAGGATCACCGATAGACTGATTACTTGGATCGCGAAAATCCTATTTTATAAGAGCGTTCAACACGCGAGGGACAGAGAGAACTCGTTAAAGCATTAATTTATTTGTCATGGCTTGCCGGTAATTTCAGTACAGTGAGAGGCGAAGTTGCGTTCGCTGAACCGATTTCTTCAAAAATCGTTGTAGCTCTAGTATTCGTCACAGCCAATCACGATACTACGGACGTTTTACTGTATTACAAAAATGTTGACAAAAATACCTTGCAAAACTCGCGTTCTCTGTCCGAGATCAAGTCCTAGTGTGCAAAAAAATCGATCGAAACGACTCTGTGACAAATTCTTTACATTTTACATTGACGAAATCGCGCGAATATTTTGCCATTTTTTTTTTTTTCTTTTTTTAATCAAGTTTTCAATCGGCTCGAAAAATGTGTGACATAATTCTACAATTATAGAGCTACAATTGTTCCCCATCTTGATTTTAATCGATTCCATTAAAGAAATCCGTTCTATCATATATTCGATCGGCAACGTAAATTAGACTGTCAAGATTAATGAGTAATAAATTGCACGTTTTCGACGATAGAGCGAACGAGTGTCAATATGTCGCTTGAATAGCCGCATCCCAGCGTGGCAATACAGTTTATTGTTGAATTTATTGCATTTCCGCGTAGCGTTCACTCGCATGATACATTCATTCCTGGCTGAATTGTAATCTATCGATTCAATGTAATATCAAGTGCTCTCTTTCTCTCTCCCTCTCTTTCTAGAAATATATCCCTTTGATTTAATGATTATTATCGATGTACCTCGCTAACGGGTAATGAAATATTTTTGACGAATTGCTTTATGAATTATTTCATCGAGATTGCATTAACATTGCGTTTATCGAAAACATAGTGCCACTGTGTAAATAAATATTTGAAGAACCGTGGCAGGTGAAGCTTCGGTTTTCTAATTCGGTCAACTTTCCATATATATTTCTTGCTCTCGAAGATGTTAAAAAAAAAAAAAATTATGCACGGTCCGATGATTCATTAGAATAGGATTTTGCGCGACAGTGATAGTCGGTAATAGCTTTGTCTGGTTTTTAGCTGATTCTCGGCAGAGTTTGGCAATAATTCGACGGCTTATGAAATGACGAAGCAATTGAGTAATCTTTCTTTTCGTCGCCGGGGCTACGTAACTGTGTGCTCACAGGCTTTTACATTTGCACAATAAACTTCAGGAATTTTACGGTGTTAGTCTGTAATTTGAAAATGCAAATTGTTCGTTTAAACTCTCTGTGCCGCGGATATGATATTTACATGAATTCATAGCTGTATTGCTAGAATTGCACGTCAGTCACAAGTAAATTCATTATTAATTCAGATGCTTGTGTGCCTGTGAAACTCACGGTGGATACTATCGTTACCGAAACTAATATGCATAGTTTCTAGTGATTATCAACTATATAATGGAAACTAAATAATTTACAACATCAACATAAAATATATTTGCACAGATGTTAGTTGGCCTTGGTTTACCGACTTTTCTTGCGAAAATATCTTCGATTGTTAGTTGAAAATTATAATCGGAAGGAGATAACAACAACAGAAGACTATCCGAAATTAATTACGGTTAATCTCTATTAACATTAGATTAATTACAAAACTGTACATTGTATGTATGTATATATATATATATATATCTATCTTCCTTAAAAACGCATTTAACTAGACGATATGAAATTAAAATGCATTCAATATCAAACTTGTCGACGTTGCGTTAGCAGTTATTAGTCTTGTAAAATATTCCTAACTAATACATAATTCGACACAAAACCAGTCAAGATTCGGATATACGTTAGCTAAACTAATTGAAAATTAGTTCATCTACAGAAGAGTTTCGCTTTGGCAGCCATGTCGTAAGAAATACGCGGACACGGTGACGTGAGCGCGGGGATTAACGAGTTTTGAATGGCGTATGTAGATACAGGTGCGGTCCATGTCCCCTCCGAAGATATTATTCCCGATTCCACGTCGCAGCTGAAAATAAAACCGTTTCTCATTTTAAATCTGAAGATATCATCTTCAATATCAGAGCGAAAATCTTGTTACATTTCCCCCGGAAGAATTGTTACGTGTTACCGCGATATAAATGCTTGAGGGCTTACGTTTTGAGAACTGGCAAATTATAAAGAATAAGGGGATTCACGGGCGGCGGCCTCAGGAGGACGACGTCGACCCCAGAGGATTGTAGTTCACTTTTTAATGCTTCTGCAGCTCCTTCTACGGCCTTTCTGGAAGCGCTGTACGCTACCAGTCCTGTTCCAATTTTCGAGCCGTAGCTTGTCGCGGAATCGCCCAAAAGAACGATGCGTCCTTCGAGAAAAAAAAAAAAAGAAAAAAGAAAAGGAAAATAGAAGAAAGGTTCTTTGTAATTTATCGCAGCCTCTTTTGTGTACATGCGTTTCCAGTTACAAAATTGGAGCAGACCTCTTTTTGCACGTAAAAGGGGGATGAACATTCTGGCGGTTCTAAGCGGCGCCACCAAGTTATGTCGCAGCATAGATTCCCACGCCGAACTCGGTTGTCTCTCTATGGCACCGGGTAGGGCCAAGCCGCCAGTGTGCACGATTGCCCAGAGACCTGTAGTTAAGTGAAGTTGAAACTTCAGTGTACTGTAAACGGTCGGTTTCGAATAACGCGACAGACACAGCGACGATAGGAATGCTTCTTGCACATTAAATGCATTGAAAATTGTTAATACGAGAAAGATATATATTAGAAAATAGAAGAAACAACTTTCAGCGGAGTGCGAGAATGTAATGAAATTACTAAACTGAAAAACTTTTTATGCGATTACGGAGAATTTAAATGCCCAGAAAATGCAAATGGGCAATATATACAAGAATACATGAGATGTTTAAAGTATAATATTCATTGTAATATTTAGTGAGTGAAGCAAATGCACAAGTTTAATTTTTTTAACTACATTCAGTGGAATTATGGACAATATAAATTATATAACTACCTGAGGATGAAATAAATTCGTTTGATAAAAAATAAAAGAGCTTAGAGATAGTAATACTTCTCAAGAAATCAAAATAGCTGTGAATATTGATAATTATATCGACTATTATCAAATCAAACAACAGTCTGAAATCATTGCAATTTTTGATCTCGTGTTTTTTTTCTTTTGAGACGTTAGTGTAAATTGCTATTCTACAATTTCATACAATTGTAGATAAAAATAATACAGTAACGACTCAAAGTCCGAAATCAATGGCTTGGAGCCATCTAGTTTGGCCATTGATGAACGAGAGTGCGAGAAGTTTGTGAAACGGAACTTGCATACCACGAACTTAATTGATGTTCCTTTAGCGCCTGTTTTTGGTTAATTAAATATTCCATTGATTCGATGTTAACCGAGAGGAACTCGTTAAACTTCAATTTTCTCTTTCTACTCAAAACGTCGACTCAGAACTATCGACGAGGTCAAATTCAATAATTCGTAATTAAGACTGCAATGAATAGAAATGTGAGAAAATGAACAGAATCCGAAGCAGCGTTCAATCCTCGCTGTGCGCGACGTGCACATTAAATCGACGATTTATCTCTTGCCATCTTCGCCAGCCGGAAGTTTCGCCCTAACAGCATCCAAACAAGCGCGTAAACTGTCTTCTCTCGTCGAGTCCAGTTCCAATGGCACGATTTGGCCGCGAGCACGTACTTCCGGTTCTTGCGGGTTCCCGTGGCTCGTGCTCGCTGGATCCTCCTCTCTTTCTTTCTGTTGCTCGATTGCCCTTAAGATTTTCATCGACGGTGAATTTGGGGACGAGGGATCTAGCAAGCCAGCAAACACCTATACGACATAGTCGATCGCAGACTTACAACGGCGCTTTTTCGGATAGAAAAGTATTTCTACTTCTACTATACAAGAAATATTTTAATTTCTTCAGCTTCGTAGGAAGAACGGCGGGTGCGTTACCTTGTAACCAGCTTCGTAGAGTGCAAGGGCGATCTGTAGACCCACGCACGTATCGCAGCTCGTAACGAGTACGTGGCGTTTGTTACGGGACTCGTACTCATCGGTGGCATTCCTCGATTGCCGCATTAGATAAGCCAGCAGGGCAGCAACGATCGAGCAGAGAGCTAATATTTGCAGGGCCAGAATGGCCCCAGTTTCAGCATCCATCCTGCCACGTAATATTCAAATCTGCAAAGCAGAAGTTATATCTCTATTACGGTACAATTCAAGCCAGATCATACGAATCCTTCCACTTCCGCAATGCGCCGAAATAGCTTCTCATCGCTATTATGATCGCCGTTAAATTTCGTGTTGGAGTTTCGCACGCTAATAGGTATATTTACAGCCTCGATTTCTCATCATTCGAACGATATCGTTGACTATTATATATCTCTGGATACGATGGTAAACACAAAGTTTCAAAGCGCAAGGATTTTTAATTAACGGACTGCTTGAAGGAAACGCCGACGGCGCCCAAATCTCAGTTTCGCGATTTGCAAATTTCAATTTCAGTTGCATAATGTCCTTCTGCTCTGTGCACATCGATATTATTTGTATCAACGTTTTCGACGACGGCACGCAATCCATATAAATCCACCGCGAAGCGTAATTCTGTGCACGAATGTCGTTGACAGCCGATCAATCAATAATGATGCCATAAGGCATAGTATATTTAACCTAGACCAACGACGACGAAATCACTGCGAAATAGGTGGAGAACAGTGATACAACAAATCGGCGATTTTCACGTGTATTGCCAGCGAATTGTATTATTTTACTTCATAAAGAATTGCGACCGATTGAGTTCATCGATTATCGACATCTCGCAGCAATATTTCACATCAGTAGCTGAACTATTTTCTCAGATGAAATTTCGTAGTAACTTTAAAGCAACAATATGAAAGTAAATAAGATCGTTTCTGCGATACACAAATATACACAGGATATTATCCTTTTGCTCGTTTCACATTTTTCATACAACAAAAGTTTCAATCGGAGTTTTCTTCTATTTTCGAAAAGTCTGTTTTCATGTTTCACTCTGTAATTGAATTTTTTGGTAACAATTTTTGGCGAACGACTGCAAGCACGACATAACAACGTTTTCAAAAATTTAATCGAAGAGCCTTTGTGTCAAACCTTTTTTCATCACGAAGCAACATGTTATAAAGTTTTCCAACTGGTTGCAACTGATTGCAATTATATATAAATTGATTGAATTATATACACACTGCCACGAATAAATAATAATTGTACAGTTGCAGCAATCCCATTAAAAGTTTGATACTTTTGTTATGTTTCGACAGCTCTGATTGACAAACTTTAGTTGCATTTTCAAGTTTTATATTTATTTTTAATAAATAGCTGATGCTTTATAAAATATCTACGAACCATTTCAACATGATTAGAAACATATATTTCAATTCCTTTTGAAATTTCGAAAATGAACAGACGTACTTCAAATCACTCTGCAGACTCTTCTAATAATAATAATAATAATAATTTCTTTCTATCAATATCTATTAACTATACATGTTAAGATTGGAGATTTAAAAATATCCAAATATTTATGCACGATAATATATTCATAAGTGACTGAAAGAAAGTATGTCTAAGCTGATTGAATAAGATAAAGAAAGAGTTATTATTCATTTATGACTGAATAATTTCAAATTTACAAGTAGATTTTCCTCGTTAATATATGTGCGACGTTTAATTGTCATTTTCATTGAAAGTTAAAGAAGTTTTTGTGAGTGAAATCTCAGAGAAAAGCAGATATCGCAGTACTATAAATTGCAACAATTCAATAATTCGTAACATTGGCAACATATTCAGACGAAGGCATCACGGCGAAAAGCATAGCAAATTCTGTTTTTCCCAGGAGAAGTGAAGGGCGATGGAAAGGTTTTTGTTCGACGTAATGACTCGCCTTTCTAAAGTTTATCTGAGCTCAGCGAGGCGTGGTTTTCAGCCGCTTCTGTTTTTCTTCACAGTTGACCATCAATCGTAATCGTTGTTGCAAATTTATAATTGTCCCAATTTATAAATTTCAACACGAACCACTTCTTTCCATCGGAAAAAGTGATCGAATATCCATCGATTTTTGAAGATATTCAAAGATATATAAAGACTTGCAACAGCAGTTAAATTCGAAAAAAAATGGACACTATAAATTATAATTACAAACAAGACTCTGTTTTCTAAAATGACAGTTACAATTTTCAACTCGAGGTCGCAAGTGATTCGTGATGTAATTTCTGAGCGTAGTTCATTAATCAGTTAAAATACCGATCGAATTTTATACTAATTTTCATATCCACTCATTGAAATAATCATGTGTTCAAATCGACGTACTTCTTCAAGATCCTGCGTGTGACTCGTTTATCGAACAAAATACGTAGAAAGCGTATCGTTGAAAATTACAGCTGATGCTCGGAGCATTGGGAGGATTTTGTTTTCAAGTTTCGATTTTAAACGAAGTATAAGAGTTCATTGGCCGATACAAATTATGCGCAAGGAAAATCACATGATATGATAAATTACTTTTTTGTTTATTTGAAAACAGAAATATGACGTGACCAAAATTAATACTTTTGGACACATTATTGACTTTCACTGATATAATATTTTCGAACACGTATCGTCGGCTAATAATAAAAAGTTTGTATATATCTAAAATTGATACATTTTTATTGCAAAGTTGCATGCATTCATTTATTATGAAATTCACAGTTTTATATAGAGACACGAATTATTAACTTTACACTTGAAAAGAAAGGAACTACTTTTTTGTTTGTTTATACGCGTAGTTTTTGAAAACCTCTTCACGCGTAAGTGCGTATACGAATACATCCATACAGATAAACACGAATAAGCTTGTATGTGTGCTTCGATTGCGTGCCAAATCATGGCGGTTAACTTTCTCTGGAATGCAGGTACAGAAAGAAACCTGCTTGAAAGACAGGTGCTACGAAATTATGGAATTGTTTTTCCACAGTTTAACTCTCGATGAAGAGTCAAATTCACTGTTAGTTTCGTTTCAATTCTTCTATCAATCAATTAGCACTTAATTTCATTAAATTGTCAAGATAATTGTATCCTTATTTTATTCATAAAAATAGCAAAGCTGTTATGCGGAGCATTTCAGATTTGTAAATAAAAGAAAATTATATAAAAATGGAAGATATTTTCGTTTTAAAAGGGAAAACAAGCAATCAATATTTAAACTTACCTACTGTATAATTAATAAGAATTCGCACAAACACTGCAACAGTTCACCTAGAAAGATAAATAAAATTCAACATTCATGAAATAAATTACTCCCCCTTACTTTTGCTTAATATTACAGATTAGCGCTATCGTTAATAATGATACATCGCTGCAATTTCATGTAAAGCGAGTAAAACGAAGTAAAATGCAAATTGTATTGATATTTATTTATAACCTGGCTCGTTTGGTAAATCTATAAAAGATTCTTTCTTTCTCATTGAGAAAAACTGTTTTCACTGAATGCGCTGAAACAAAATAGTCCCGAGGGAACTATCCAAGAAAGGTGAAATTAGCTTTGAGAATACCGAAATCCTTTATTACGTCTTTTGTCAGGCAGCAATTGTAATCGCGACGGCACGCCAATAAGCAGCTATGTCATGTCTATTAATCGCTAATGTTGCGTTGTCGTCAGGCATGTACATATCAACTGGAATGCTGGAGGTACAGGAATTACACATATATGGAGTCGCAGACACGCGTTTCAGGAGCGGTAATACACACGTATCAAGATAATCAGAATGGGGGCCTGGGCCTCCTTTCGTATTCACGGTATGCACGGACGAATCATATTTCGTGGTCGCATTATCGAATTGCAGGAGTTTATTCACTCGTGCTAATTTCGGCGGGAATGTAGAAATATCGATTAGAGGCTTGGCCTCTCCTCCGTGTGCTCCTTCTGATCTAGAATCTTACCCAACAATCCCGGGCTTTCTGCGCCCGCGCGTCGCAACATTGCAACGTTCCATTATCCGACCCGAGAGAGATCCAACTAAAATAATTCGAACGAAAACATTCGAACGAACACGTTGAAAGTTATCCGTGGTTGGCGACTGCCAAGTCGAAAGCGTTGCCTCATCTTTCAAGCATAAAATATTTAAATTATCACGTACACGCATCGCGATTGCCGCTACCTTTTTAATGCAGGCGGTTGAATCCCGCTAGAGAATTAACCTAGTCCGATTTGTTCGAGGAAAGCAACGGAGGTTGGGCGCGCGATTTAACGCGAGTTTCTTGGGCAATTAGGCGGCTCTCTTCTCTTCACAATCGTAAAAGAAATATTGGCGAAGGACTGGCATTTGTGGCGCCGAGATCGCGCACGTTGCCATGTAAGCAGCGGCGACTAACAGTTTGTGTAGATACAGTATAAGTAAACGTGCAACGGTACTCCACATTGACCGCGAGTGACCGTGTGGAAAAGTTAAATATTTGCAATCTGTGAATATCGCTTGGCTATTTACACGATAATTATCGCAATGTTTACTCGTACGTATTACTAGGAATGCCTGTAGTTAAACATTAATTCCAAGAAGGCTTCCCAATATTAAATTAATTTTTCCTCGTTGAAAATTATTGACAAAATCTAAATAAGCTTACGATAAATTTCGTGGCAATTATTTAACAATATTGCTGATCCTTGAAGCTCAAATTCACGAGTTCGCGCCCCGCGGATATGTACGTGTAGACATGTCGTTCATACGTTAGTGACCGCACGCCACGATAATGGCTTGGAAAGTTTAGGCCAAATACTTTTCCTGCTATTGACTGGAAAGCTGAATACTTGTCCACTCATCTAGGAATGCGAGGAAGATTACGCGACATTGGATTTTTTCTTATATCGATTAAAAGTTGCGACGAAGCATTACTCAGTTGTTTAAGTTTGTACATTTCGGCGCAAACATTTTTGCATAGCTATCGTTGCATTATTAAACAAATAAATTATTCCTACGATTAACTATTAAACGAAGATCGTTATTTCCGCTTTGAAACCTTCGATTATCGTTATTAGCGAACCACGTCAACGGAATAGGATGATTGCTCTAAAATCTTCGATCGATCGAATGGAATGTAAAACGAAAGAATGCTTCCAATTTTTTGTTTTTTTGTTTTTTTTTTTTTGTAATAATAAGAAAAAGAAGATGAAGATAAAAAGTTTCGAAAAAGTCTATTTAATAGCAGCTCTCGCTCAACTTTCGAAAAACAAGCGTTAATTATACATGGTCGACGAATGTTTTTCACACGAATGTGTAAAGAATGATCGTTCACGATGATCATTTAATATTCATGTTTGATTGCGATTTTTTTTTTTTTTTTTTTGTATCTGTTACTCAGTTTCTCGATTCACGCTCTACTTCACCCTTGAGCAACTTATCGCTTCATTGCAGTTCTAAGTGCGATGAGCTTAACGTTAATCGTGAAATTTTTATTGACGTGTTTAATACACTTAAGACCAATTTTTACGTAATATACTTGATGGCTTGTCAAAGCAAACTCATATATTCTAAATCAATATAGTCATACGTATTTATTTTTTTGAATATATATCATTGAGTTACTGTAAAAAAAAAAAAAAAAAAAAATTGAATCGATTATCAAAGTGAAAGATTAGTACGAGTATTTTCACTCAACGTTGTCAATAAAAAGATATTAAGTTGAAAGCCAACACTTACCAGAATTTGAGCGTAAGATTTGTGGACGTCGAGGTCAAGTAGTTACTCAACTACTTTTGGTACTCGATAGTTGGTCCCTTGTCAGGAAAATTCGGTATACTCGAAAACAGCACACAGCGAGAAAACAGCAGTTTTACGAGCACTTGAAAGTACCGGCGAGCGGCAGGCCGCGACGCGTGTTTCTACGGCACAACTGGCTTTCGAGAATTCCCGCTTGGAATGCCCACGAGGACGAACGGTATAAGATGCTTCGACGCTGGCTGCCTCGACAAATGGAAAAGGCACGGTCGAAGCATCTTCGCCGCGCCTACAATTACACGCCTGTGTCTATCTCTCCTCGATGCTCTTCGACTCTCGACGGGTTACGCCTCTGCTAACGTTAATTTCTAAAGAACGTACCGTTTATACATACGTCGAATACCTTCAGGATCTCTAACAGATTAGACAAGAAACTGCAATTAACTCGTAAATGACCAAATTAATGCCTACTTGATACGAATCTCTGTTTCGTTGTGCAAGAAAAATATCCCAAAATATTACGCGGATGCACATTTGTTCCAGCTATACCGAAACACGAGAATATCTAAATTTTACGAGACGAGAGTTCACTGATTCAGGAAAAAATTAATTTTGATTTGCCGAACGTAAAGCAGATTTTACGACGTTTCTTTTTTCAGTCTCGGCACAAGGATATGGGTTTTTTTTTTCTTTTATTCCTTTTCTCGCTAGGAATAAAGCTAAATGTCGCAACAGAATGTCTGAGGGCTCAGTCACGTAATCAATTTTGTAGAAAAAAGGCTTACTGGCCGCTTAATGAGAACGTCGAAAGGATTTGAAATTACGTAAATCAAAAAAGCTTACCTGGCAGAAGCAATGTCTGCAGCAAAGACAAGAAAGATTCCCTTAATACCTTGATCTTCTTTATATAGCGAAATAATTCTTTTTTTCTTTAGTCATTTTTAATTAACGTACATTTTCTACGACATTTTACAACGTGGAACGTTCCACAGATGTCTAAAAAGATACCAATTATTTTTAAATTTGCAAAATTTCCATGACAATGTAGAAGTACCATCAAATATATTATTCGAGGAAGCACTAACGACTATCAGCTGTGAAACGTGTTTTTCATTTCATTCAGTTAATCTATCGTTATATCTTCTGTTCAAGCTCTCTACAAAATTCTGGTTCTCAATGACCTACATACAACTTGATCGATTAATATTTCTTTGACCCTGTTCTGTTTGCAAATTAAGAGGTATTACAAAACGTAATACGATAATTGATAAAACAAACATAGAAACTGTACTACTAGAAGATTTAAATTATCGGAATCACTAATTAATTGTTATTGATCTCTTCCATGAAAATTACAATCGCTGTTTCACGAATTACCGTATTAATGTTAATGCCCGTTATCGTATACAGTTTTTCATTTTCTTAGAAAATGAAACTGTTCAATATCTAGTCATGGTTATTTTTATCGAATATAAACAATACATTAATTTTTATATAGAATAACTATGTGAGTTCTAAACGAAATAGTAGGATCATCAGATAAATTTTAGTCACGATTAACCCCTTTCAGCACTGTGTCATTGTGTGACAATGCTGTATGCAGTAAGAAAATATTCGTTTCGTACGAGGATCGAATATTAATTTATCGAAAAGTTCATGCACACGTGGAATTCATATTAATGATTTTCATTGTCTTAAATTAAAGTAATATGATTAAAGGTTACGTTAATTTGAAAATATCGTTCGAGTAAAATATTGCGCGATAATAAAATTGTTTTTTTTTTACCAATAATATGGTATATAATAATATAATTTTCAAAAAAGCCGGTGAAAAAGATTGTATAATTCTAATAATTAATAACATGTATCATTTTGTGCGTTAGAATCTTATTCTGTAATTATTGTATGTATCGAAATCTTTTTGTACTTACTCGATCTCTTGCAAAAATAGTAACACAGAGTTTAGTCTGTAAAATTTCCTAGCTTGTAAGTTGTGGCATCCCTGATGTTACTAGACTAGGAGTATTACTACTTGGTGGGGAGGTATCCATGTTACGCACGTTTCTCGTTCATTTCCTTTTGAGACTCGAAGGTGGGTGGTCGTTTTGTTGAGTGGTGCTCGATCTTAATAACCGTTTCTCTGTATATTCGCGTAAATGTTTCATCTAATAAGGTACATTTGTAAATTCAGAAAAACATTCTGTAAAACATTTGCTTCGTTTACCAATTCACGAAATTTCTATTGCGGCGAAGTTTGGGAAAATGGCTGAATCAATGGGGAGTAGTGAATATAATATAGGCCACGTGGCGAAGCAACTCACTCAAGAAGAAATAGAGAAAATGCAAGCACAAAATTCACGACTGGTTCCTGAATTTCAAGCTAACGAACTGGAGAGAAACACTAAGAAGCATTGGGACCTGTTTTACAAACGAAACGATATTAGATTTTTTAAGGACAGACATTGGACCACCAGAGAGTTCCATGAATTATTAGGCTTCGATTCCGGAAATGATCGAATTGCCCTTCTAGAAGTCGGCTGCGGTGTTGGAAATTTCATATTTCCATTGATCGAAGATGGACTAAAATTTAAAATGATATTTGCTTGTGATCTCTCTTCTAAAGCAGTGGAGTTAACAAAGGTATTCATTTATTTATTAACATATCTACGTACCTGTTATCGTATACCATGTAATTTTATCTTTTACAGAAGCATTTATTGTATGATCCAGACAATATGAAGATTTTCCAAACGGATATTACAACTGAAAATTGTTTCCAGCAAGTGGATTGCCCGGTAAACATAATAACATTAATATTTGTATTATCGGCTATTCATCCAAAATATTTTAGAAAGTGAGCTATTTTCTGTAATCGTTTGTTTTAACATTGCAATTTATTAAAAATTGTAACATTTTAGGGTCGTGGAAAATTTATATAACATTCTTGATACTGGAGGGATTGTACTTTTCAGAGATTATGGCCTATATGATATGGCCCAGTTAAGGTTTAAACCTGGTCACAAAATCAGTGAAAATTTATATATGAGACAAGATGGCACCAGGTAACATTTGTTTAGATTCTTAAATGTATTGTGAATTTATCAAAATTATATTATATGCATGAAGTTTTATATCTTATTTCAGGGCATATTATTTTTCAGAGGAAGAAATATTGAATTTATTTGAATCGGTTGGTTTTAAAACTTTAACATGTAATTATGTACAAAGACGTACTATAAATTTGAAAGAAAAAATAGATGTACCAAGAATTTTTATTCAAGGCAAATTTGGAAAATTTTAATAATAATGGTATGCCTTTATTGATTCTTAAAAACAAAAAATATTTGTAATACGTAAGTGATGAATTTATAGTTCAAATGATTTAAAATGAATACTTAATTTTTCGCCCTAATCTGATAATTTCAAAGAAAGCAAAACATTTTATCACATTATATATTAAGAATTTTCATATTAATTTATATTAGCTTTCTGTTTCAGAGTACTCAATCGCTTAATGAAAATGGTCATAGCTTATTGAACATGTAAGTGTTTTTTTCTTTTCTTGCAAAAATATAGTAATCGTAAAATTAATCAGACATGAAGTAAAAAATTGGAAGTGAAGGAAAAAAATTAAGAAAACCACGAGTTGGTTGAAATATATCTAAAATTTGTTCTAAGTTTCATATATGTATATAAAGTATAATATATTATAGATCAAGACATATCATTTTTAAAATTGATTATTAAAAGTTTATGATGAATTCATAGTTCAACTGATTAACATGAAGACGTACTTATCTGTCTTTCGCTCCTATCTGAAAACTTTTTAACAGTATTAAATTTGCAATAAATAAATAGGATTTTATTGTAACTTTTTTTTCCTTTTATTACAGAATATTACTGGATCTGCAATTTTATAAGCACTGGATGTATAAGAAATGTTTTTGAAACATTTCCATTTCTTGAATTAGTGAGTGTTTATGTAATTTTTAATATAAATATATATTAATTTAGAATTTCAATGATGTACATATAAATATATTTGATTTTTTTATGATATATACACATATTTCGTCACTACCTCTGAGAAAACGTAGTACTTTAAAAATATAATCCCGGTTCTTTGAAAAAAAGTGAAAAATAATTGTCTTTTTACAGAATGAGTTCGATTTTAATCAAGAAAGTTTTGACTCAAATCTCCACTCCTAGGTAAATACGAATTTTTAAAAAATACATACTTTAAGTTGTGGTAATATACTTTAAGTTGTAATGATGAATAGAATTAATATGATATTAGTGATTTATAGATAATTAGCTCTATCTGAAAATCAAATAGCTATTTGGTTTATTTTTCTATAAAATAAAAAAAAAAAAAATGGAAGAAAATATATTCTTATGTTGCAGGTTGACGAGAAAGATTTTACCATGTGGTATAAAATAATGTGATATAAAATATTTTCTTCATATTATGTACAATATTATGTATATTTATAATAAATAATAAAGTTAAACAATAAATTATCTTTATTTGCATCCTTTTTTATGTATCATATCATTGTATGTTTATAACTCCCGTTAAATTCATTACATTAAAATTCATGAGAAAATATTGGGAGGGTGTTGATATCGTGTTCCCAAGAAGGATTTGAAAGCAAAACCGCCGACGAATAAATTGCATCGAGATTATTAATTAGGCAAAAACATGTCGCGTTCTCATTTGGTTGCACCCGTGTAAGTGAAGTTCGAAACGATGAATCTAAATTGCAAAATATTCCATTTTTTCATTTTGAAAATGTGCAACATTTGTTCGTATAAACTAAAAAATATAAATATGTATAAAATATTCATATAAATGGTCGGATTAGTGAACTCATTAAACAATTTACTTTTGTACGTAGACAAAAAAGACAATATACATATATTTAAGATTAGGGGTAAACTTAAATTCTCCAATCCAAAATTGCAAGATTTTGAAATTTTAAAACCTTAAAATGTGCTGATTTTATTTTGTAAGAGAAATTTCTTGTTTTAAAAAATGGACTTAATAGTTTTGTATAAATATTTATTAGTCACAGTTAAACTGTGTACAAACTTACCTAATTCGAATAATGTTTGAAAACATTGACATCCAAACTCTTTCTGGATCTAATCTACTTATTTTTTTGTTGTACCTATAATATCATACTGAAGAGTTTTTCAGAGTACACCATTAATGGTAATAATAACAAGACATGTTTTTAATTAATTTCTTTAGGTTTGGATATTTTATATTATCAACCCAGAATTACGATTGATCGCACAATTATATCCTTACCAAACAAATTCCGATTATTGAGCATTCGCGAAGCATCTCATAGTGAACCATTCTTTATTCACGCTGCAAATGATTGTTTATTCAATGATCTTATATTTTCTCTTACCTGAATTTCAAGAGTTTCTAAAGTTTTGAATTCTCGGAACTTGCGTTTCAAGGGGTTTCTAGGATTCGATGTTTTGAGTAACCTTATTTAAAATGATAGAAAAAGAAATAAATTTCTTCTCAGATAACAATTTTACCTGACAAAGGCTGAAGAGGATAATTTTCGCTCCTTCGGCCTTGAAATTACAGTTCTTGGTCGACTATCGCATCGTTAAATCGTAATTTTTTGTTCGAAGAATTGCTGCTCTACAAATATCCATAATTTTGCATTTTCTGCAATCAACATGATCAGGAAACCGGATCTATTATTGTGAGAATTCGACATTTTTTGTTAACTTAGGTCGCTGAAATAGAATTTTTTGCTTAACAGCATATTCGTTGGAAATGAATCCAATCAAAATACCGGCGGAATCGATATGCAAATGATCACCGACCGATTTAGCAAACTCTAATAATACATACATACATACATACATACATACATACAATACATATGCATCGAAGAATGTTAGACAGTGGTCAGCATTTCTTCCGAAATTTAAATTCAAATCATCAAGGGCGCGCCCTTCAATCGTAAAGCACGTTTTATGCTTAGGAAATCGATTGTCATGCAAAACATACAGTTTTAATCAAGTAATCTAATCTTTAAGTTCTTCTTTACAACATCTGATGTCATAAACTACATAATAATCCAAATCGGAATTCTACGTTTTAATAAACTACAATCTTCACTGGTTGTAGGAAAACAATTCTAATAAATATCTATAGTAACATTATATAAAATCGTATATTCTTCAATGATTGAGCATCGCGAGAATGTTCCTTGTTCTTTTTCTTTAATATAATTTACTGAGTTTATTAACTAAATGCTCCAGAAAGTATTCGTCGAGAAATTTTCTCCAAAATCGCAAGTAAGTGAAATCTATCGACAATCTTCTTGTTGCGGCGTATTTGAAAATCTTTTTCCTTCGTGCTTTCGCGTTTTATTCATAATCAATGTATTAGGATCGTTTCAGAGAACTTGTTACAATTATATCACGATGCGAAGAAAAATTATGTATTACGTTGTATGAGGTAAAACACTTTCGTTCGTATTTGGCCGATTGCCAAGGTCTCTTGCTTAACCCGCGTGCTATGCATCAGAGGTTGTACTTACACGGGTTTGCTTCAGGAATACGTGAACGAGATTCCTTAGCAGACCTCATCGTCTTCGACAACGTTGACTGCACACGTACACGGATTACGTATGCTACTCCGTAAACAATAGGACGTGTAACAACCCCGTGCAACATCCACCGTCTCGCACACACACACACACACGTGAAACACACACATGATACGCGTGTCCTCGAGCATTGATCAATCGACGAGTGACGCGCATAGGACAATCTACTCGTCCAGGTATATAAAGGTATCCACCAAAAAGCAAGAGCATCATTCGCTCCCAGTTCAACATACGAGCTGATCTCCAAAGATCTACCAAACTCATCAACTATGAAGTGCTTCGTTGTAAGTACGATAATTACACTTCTACGTATCAAACATTAATTATATTATATACTTTAATCTCTTTTCATTGGCTCTTTGCTTTTTTTTTTTTTTTGAAACGTAATAATCTATAGCGTGAGATGAAATTATGATCCGTACGGTTGTTTGGCAAAATATAATAATAATATGCATTTAGTCGGCTGGAAAATTACGTATTTTCAATATACAATCATTCAGAAAACAGATTGAGTTTAATTACTGTCATAAACATAAAGGCAACTATGTCAATTATAATTGCCGCTTTAGATGATAACTATGTCATTCAAACAGAAAATAAGGCATGTACAGTTGAATAAAAATGTCAAACAATATCTATACGTATATCGTGACGTCCTTTTTCCGATTCTCAAATATTTGTTGTTCTTTTAGGCTATCGTTCTCTTGGCTCTGTTCGCTGTAGCCTTCGCTGCAGAGAAACCAGCAGAACCTGAAAAGATTGAACAACTGCCGAGCGCAGAAGCTGCGGACGCACCACGGGACAAGAGAGGTCTATTGCTGAGCTACACTGCACCAGTTGCACCAGTTGCACCAGTTGCATACACTTCTTACGCTGCAGCACCAATTGCCTACAGTGCTAGTTACAGCTTGCCCTACGCCTACCGCTCGTACCCTTACTACTATAGCTCCTACTACGTGGCTTAAATCAGGTGTTTCAGAGCTAGTAAACGTAGAACATTTCGAACTAAGGCAAAACGACCATGGCAATCGCAAGGATTCTTAACCGGCGTCATTTTACGTTTTTAATTTAATTAGGAACGAAAACCAAAACGAAATCTTTCCCGACGTTAATACTCTGAACGCTCAACACTATTTTTGGACGTAATTTTCAATGTACATACGCTTCAGCAAATGCTAATGTTTTAATCACGATATTTTCGTTGTATCTTGTATAATGTGAAATACAGAAGATAATTAAATTTACACATGTTTGTTTAATGTCATTTCCTCTGTGTGTTTGGTTTCCTCTATGTATAGGATGCGTTTTAATGAACCAACAATTTTAATTCTTTTTTTAACGTGGAGATAATGTATTCTACGTGAGTCATAGCAACTATGTTATTTGATATGCATCTAAAGTTTCATCTTTGATGTGAGAATGCATCTTACATCGCTGTTACGTTGGCGCATTGTCGCACAATAAACTTCCTGCCGGGGTGAACAGCAAGCCGAATCAAATGACATCATCGGATGCCAGTTTGACGTTGTAATTTGGATTAGTTATGAAGTCATTGGAACAGCGGACGAAAGCTATGTCCAAACGACGTTGGCATTGGTTGCACATTGTTCCCTCCCTTTAGACATGTGCATGTATAAAGAATGCCGCGTATCCCGATTTCTTTGGTAGTCAATATTGTGCAAATCGACAAATATCGGGCCGGTGGGACACCGTGAATTTTAAAAGAGTCTCTCGTGAAACAAAAAATCCGTGGATCTCTTTGGCTAGCACAAACCGTGTTATCCGATCGAAACTTTTTTGGTAAATCAAAGCGAGTAACTGCGAGCGAAATTCGAAGCACTTCGGAGAATTCGGACACGCGTGACTTTCGTATAATCAGGAATTACACAACAGGAATATATTAAAGTAAACAAATACTTATTCCGTATTCTTTAGGACCTGATGATTTTGAATACTTTCACTGAGACTTGGAACAACACTTTGGGGAAGAAGGACGTGATGAGAATGATATCAAGTGTCATTTCGTATAAAGACGTTTTTTCTTCAAGCAGCGAGCAGAACTTGGCCCATCCTTTGGCTTTTCTGCCAAAAAAAACAAGAATCTATGGAGGCGAAAACACGATAAAAGTCTAACCATTCATATCACATCAAAATATATTAGAAAATTTTAAATTACGACTGAACGTCATATAAGTTTCGTTCGCGAACTCTACTGTCAATAACAGACGCGAATCTACCGCGAAACTAATTGATTGTTAGCTCGACGATACTTTTGCTAAGCGGTTCAATTTCCCTTTTATCAATCTTACTTTGCGTTTCTTGTTTCGCTCGTTTCGGATGACGAATGTGCCAAGCGAATGCTAAAATATTTTAATTTGTCGGGAGAAGACGATGCTTTACATCGATATGTGTAACATCACCAATCCGTAACAGCATTGCCTAAGTGTGATCGATGAAAGCCGGCAAGAAAGTCTATTGTAATTCGTGGATGGTCGCGACCCGACTGTATTTATACATGTGCAGGTATGGCCGTGGTCTTAGTCGGTGCGGGTCTGTCCATCCTGGAAGAAATTAGTTCCTTTTTTTTTTTTCAGTGCGGATACTCTGATTATCTCGAACGAACCTGCAGAGATTCTAGAACTACAGGAAGTATCTGATCGGTGTAGTGCTAAGTGCAAATTGGATTACAAACATGAAGTTTCTTCTAGTAAGTATTCGATTCATATGCCACAAACATTCCGAGCGATATATGTACGTGTACGTGGTGCGAGATCGTTTCTGTGGTTCGTACGATTAACGCGCCGATTAATTTGTCATTATAGATATTATGTTTACTGGTTACGAGCTTGCTGTTGTGCGCCACAGCGAAAGCTGAAACCGAGGAAGCTGAAGAGAAACCGGAAATCACGAAGTTGGAATTGGTAGATCTCGGCGAGGGGGAGAGCGATGTCGACGACAAGGATTCGGAAGTTCAGAAAAAGAGAGATTCGGGATATTCTTACAGGAGGCCAAACAATTTCGCGTTAGCTTCGAGAGCTCGTTTGCAAGTTGGACAACCCGGCCACAGAGGGCGTATCGTTAATAGACATCCGGCACAAATAAATCGACCAATTACCAAATACGGGCCACCGGGTTATCAGAATTCATCTCCAATGAGACCTGTATCGCACAATCAACAGCACCGAGATAAATTGCAATTCAACGGTCATTTCAACCAACAACATTCGAACAACTTCGATGGCCGTCCGAGTGGTTTGCTCGAACAAGAAATCCCGAGTCCAATTAGACAGGTAGATTTCATCGAACCGAATCCAATATCCACTCAAAACGATGAACCGTTTGCAACTCATTCGGCCAATTACTTGCCACCGCAAAATCAAAGGTTACCCGGTTATTTCGCGCCGCAAACTTTTTCCCCGGCTCATGCAGCACAGAAGCCGGAAGATGACAATCAAGGTCAACCGGCCAAGTTCCAAAGCCAGAACATCGCGCTGCCGCAGGGGCAATTGTCGGACGCGGCGCTTTTCCTCGCGGAAAACGCGCAGGCCATACAACAACTTTATGGTGCTCCACCGAATGAGCAGGACTTCGCGCCACATGCCGATCAATTCTTGGATCAGAACAACCGAGTACAAAATCCGAGCAGCCGGTTCCAAAATTTCGAGGCCAGCTCACAGAGCCCGCAAAGTTTTCCAGGACCTCTGCCGTCGTACGCGTCCGGAACGCTTAGCGCTCGAGAGACTCTAGAGCAAATACAGTCCCTGGAGAAGGATCGACTGATCGCTCAATTGCAGCGGGCACTCGTTACGCAGGCGCAAAGTGCAGACGCAGCAGGAAGGTACGCACAAAATCAGCAGAGCTTCGTACAGAGTCAAGATCTTCTGGCTTCCCTCGGACAGCGAATGAAGATTCACGGTTTAAATACGCAACAGAATACCGTACTCTTGGGCACTGGGAATACAGCTTTCAATCAATCACCTTTTTTGCCAGGGACAACAATCAGTCCGGGATTTCCGCTTAACTACGGACTGTCGACAACCATTCAGCCTCCAACTACTGCTACTACAACTACGACCACCACAACCGCGCAACCCCCTCAGGCTGTTAAAGGCGATGGAACCTCGCAGCATGGTTCTTCCGTTCCTGCGCCACCGCAATCGTCACACGGGCCAGGAGTTCCCGTTTACGGTGGATTCGTTCCCACTTTAATTGCCGGCACGACTTTCACATCGAACGTACCAACCTACGGTCCCGCTTTTTTTGCGCCCGGCGCTGTCGCATCCGTTCAACCGAGTCCCTTCCCCACACACTTTGGACTGCCCATTCCTGCCGATCACGGTCAGAAGCCTTCCGAAACAAAACCATCCACGACACCGTCAATTCCCTCGACAAATCGACCCGCTGTTCCCTCGCCTCCGCCAGTCAATACCGTGCCATTTCCTGTGCATCCTATTGCAACTCCGCTTCATCCAGTAGTGGCGCCTGTTCAGCCAGTGACTCCTTTGCAACCAGTGCTCCCTCCAACGCACGTGCATCCCGTACAAACCCCATCAACGGCACATCCAACCTACGGGTTGCAAACAGCGATAATCAATCCGCTTTTATACAAGCCGATCAAACCGGTCTATCCATTCTACTATTACCCGAATGTCGCGTATCAGGTACCTAAGCCAACTTATCCGTGGAGCTACGCGCCAACCTATGCTCAAGCGAAACCGACCCAAATATGGAAATGACATTGATCCCGTTCTTTCACGGGTTGATCGTTGCTTACTTTCTCGTATCGAGATTGACCGTTTGCCCACGCGGAAGAGAGAGCCCGAATTGGTTGAAGATTGAAAACAAAGCGGCTCGTGTATGTAAATTTTTAGATCGATCTTTAAATCTCTCAAAGAAGTAGAGTGTGGAGTGCTGGAAGGTTTCAGAAATGTCATTTTATCGACGTTTTATTTTGTTCTTCGTGATTTATGAATCTTTATGGTATATTATTGGTGAAAGGTATTTGCAGTGTTTTTTACGTATATAAAGATAGTCGGTGTTTCACTTTTTCGTACAAATATGGAATAAACGGGCAAGTATTCGTGTTTTTATACCTTGTTTATACTTACAGGTTAATGTGATTTCATTGTGCTTCTATTCGCGACGTCGACATGCCATTAACACGTCATATCAGTTTTCGATATGTTTGCCTATTTTGTTAACTGCGTGCGATTTTTCAATCGAATGTTGTATTATACACCAGTTTTATTTATTACGTTCAATAAATATTTTTTTTTCTTACCATTGACGAAACTTTTTCATTATTTTTATATCGACTGCGCGCGTGAAACAAAGGAAGTCGATAACTTTATAAGATCGGCTCTGAATCGAATGGCTCTGTTCGAAAAATTCATTTCGCAGGCGGCGTTCCCGTTTCGCCGCCAAAGAAAGTACACCCTAGAAACCCAACTGCCTCCATTTCCGGCCCGTAAACCTATACCAAGAAACTCTCACCGAGGACTTAATGGGCGTCCGGCTGATCTGTCGTGATTCGATGACCTCAAAAGTCGTTCGATAATTCTAATCACGATCAATTTATTGTTGACCAGATTATTCGAGTAATTCGACGCATACATAATAGAGACATCGCCAATAAATAGAGCATACATTTTATTATTGATATCCTACATGTTGGAACACATTTTTGATAAAATAAAACCAGTTGATTTAACCATTAGTAGATACGACACTTCGAACACGATTGGTGTCATCAACGTGTCATATAGACAGGTAAATATGTACTTGTTATTGAAAATTTTTATAATAGCAGTATCGTATTCAAAATACGGATATAAATAAAGGTTAAGTGAAGTGACGTAGGGAGAGAAAGATAGGAACGCTAAGGAACAGTCTTATATTTAATTGTAAATCTAATATTTTCTTCAAAATGTCTTAAAATAATGTTGTACGTGGGATTGTGCTTACTACTTGTTGTTCAAATATAATAAAATGACTGTAACTATAGGCAACTTACTGGATATAGTATTCAAGTTTGGGCTTCAATAGTGCTGTTTATGAAAATGTTACTTTATTATATTAATTATATTAATTAGGAATGATAATATCTTTATAAGTTAAGATTATCTCTAAATTAATTGAGAATGATATCTTTATTTGTTTATAAACAGTATTTGCTAATAGTTGAATAATTAAATAATTAAGAATGATTAATTAAGAATGATATCTTTATTTGTTTATGAACAGTATTTGCTAATAGTTGAATAATTAAAAAGTGTCTAATTGATAATTTGACTGCAGATTTTTAAGCGTTGCAAAACTTCAAGATGCAAAGACCTATGCATATAATATGCAAAAATATATAAAATATCCAGAGTATTTATTGCAATATTTAGTAATTGAAGCAAATTTCTACTTGCACTCCATTTCTTTAGTTGTGTTCATAAATATAAAATATAAAGATTCATTAAAATCCTCAATCTGCTGAAAATATTCAGAAAATAACGTGATTGAGAATCATTGTTTAAAATATGTAAAAGGATGAAATTGTGAGAATCAGAAATATATGAGTAAACGCAAGAAATTGAGAAAATACAAAAAATTCAGTGCATCGTACTGTATGGTGAAGAATTCAAACACTTCTTTCGCTGTTAGTTTGTAACATGGAAAGCTGTGCAATTACAAAATATACAATTGTTCCGTTTGTCTCGCGCCCTCATCTTGGCCTCTCTATCCATATTACACTTTCCACCAAAGTTTCAGAGACATGCGAAGATGTACAAAGAGTACTAGTCTTGATCTAGTTAGTGAAATGAAGAATTAGCATTTTTTACAAATTTGATCAATGCATTTGCTAGATTTGCATTAGTTACATATGTAGAATAAAGAACATCTAATTGTAAGAATCTCAGATGGATTATAAAACTTTATAAAATCGAGAAAGAATACATTATACGCGTTATGTAAAACTTCTCGATCTTTCATTAAATTTTTTCACGTGATTATATTGGTAAAATTTGCAATTAATGCAAAAATGTATGTAGATGTCACAAGATATTTATTTTAAATATTATAAGTGACATTAATATATTCACGTTCAGTTTACACGTATAAGGCGTGATACAACCGGTTACGGGATAAGTTTACACGGAAGATTGACATTGAGAAAGGAAGAATAAGAGTTTTTTGATATGGCGCTTTAGTTTCGAGAAAATCGAGTTTGAAGTGATAAATTTATTAAACGAGTGCAACGGTACAAATGTTGGATCAAAATGGGACAATACTTTCGTCCCTCCAGGTTACCAGACTTTATTCCTCTAGATTTTTATCTATGAAATCACATTAAAGAAACAGTATATTCTAAAGACAATGAAAATCATTTTCAATTGAAAGATATTATCGTACAGGCATTTCAAGAATAAAAAAACTCAAACGTTAACGCCAGTTCACGCTGTTTTAATTCGCTGAGCAAAAATGTGTCAACGACACATCAGGGAATTTCAGCAATTTGTAATTAATCAAAATATATATGATAGTGAAACTAATTGCATTTCTTACCTAACTGATAAAATTATACCAAGCTATATTATACCAATTCATATTGTTCATAAACATAAATATAACTAGTCGAAATGGCTATGCTACGCAAAGCGCATATTCAAGCTCGATTTTGATTTATTCTATCGATTTATTATTGATTTGTTATTGCGTGCATAATCATCTCCTGACCGATTTTATCACGATTTAGGAAACACCTCGTATAATAACTAGAACTAAAGATGATTCCATTGAATATTTAATGCATAATTATATATATAATATGTATTATAGTGTACTAATATATTATTAATAAGATTTCAGTTTACCATTATCTTATAGTTTCTATCTTTACCGATATAATCATGGCAATTGGTTCTTATTATTAATTAATATTGTAATAAAATAGTGATTGACAAAATTGCCTGTCTTTGATCCTTCGAGTTTGAAAATTGAATTTATTACTAAATGAAAGCTTATAATGACATATCAATTTAAGAAAGGAAAGAGATAAATATGATGGAAAGAGTGGATCTTGTATTAGATTGTGTCGAGCGAGAGAAAGCGATATGATGATTGAGTGCATATCATATTGAATGAAACATTTTGAATTTAAAAAATTTAAGTCTAAATTCGTCAGAGAGCAATTTTTTTTAATCATCTAACCGATATAAACCAAATTTTCTGACTCCTTATATCTAATATTCAACTTCAAACTTGCTGAAACTAATTTAATCTTGCTTATCATAAATTATTATTTGATCTTCTTATCGAATTATTATATAGAATTTAATTTCTGGCATTGTTTCATGTAACGTAAATATATTTCTACACGCGTTAAGTCAGTCTATCTCATGATAGTTTTAACATCTATAAACTTATTGTTACCCGATTAGGTCCAAAAATACACATAGACAAACGAGATGTATTATAATGAAATACGTTTAGAAATGACAAACATATTTGATGTGTCAGGTTGTTTTTGTACTCACCAAGCGTGTTTATTCAGACTTTCCTTTGTTATTTATATTTATAGCTTCGATTTCGCAAAAGTTCTTTAGAGCTAGACTGGTTTGTCAACTCGTGCACGATAAGTGAGTTCTATCTCGGAAAGGCAGTGATGTTATGTTGTGGCGCAATGCAGGTACAAAACTCTATCAAAGAACCGTGTGACCGAGTTACTTACACGATTATACCGCTAAACGTGCTAGATTTCTACAAATACAGAACAGGTGTAATCGTCTTTAAGGCGAATGGCCATTACATTTTCCGTAAGTCGTGGTCGTCGCACGGAGAAAAAGGGCAACGGTCACAATGGCCACGGCTTATGTAGATACCACCACTATGCGTTTCACACAGGGAACTTGTCAACTCACTTTCCGCGAGTGACCCGAATTTCATCCTACTTCTCGTTTTAGTGCACTTCGTGCACTTTTACCGTTTTACTTTGAACTTGTCTGGTCGGGATTTCTTCTTTAAAAAAAAAAAAAAAAAAAAAAAAATCGCTTGTATCTCGAGAAATCTAGAAACTGGAAAAGTGAAGAAAATAAACAGACCTAATCCTCTTACTCTGTCAGTCAACGACGCGGGTATTATTAATCGAAGTCAAAAAGTTCCGTAACTTTTCTCAAATTTTTTTCGCATCGTTTAAGCTCATTTGTTACTTTTTTTTTTATGTATATGTATATTTACGCGTGTGTAAAAAATATAGAAAAAAATGAGTTTTATTCATTTTTTTTCCCGCCATAAATTATTAGGTGGTAATAAATTGATCACAGTGTACGAAAGCGTATCGTTATTTTTTGTACACATTAACGAGTTTCGAATGTTCGCGCTATTTAAGATAGTGACGTACGCCGTATAATGTATTATTGATATATAGAAAGTTATAGCATCTATGAACGGCAGTAGTAAATTATTAGCTATATAAAAATATAGTTCAGTTTAGAAATTAGTTTTCCTGTAAATGAATGTATAAAGGTGATATAATGATTCTTTAAATGGGTTCGTGTAATCTAATATATTAATTTAATGTAGTTTTAAAAGTCGCATAAAGGTGATATATGATTCTTTAATCTAATATATTAATTTAATGTAGTTTATTAAATAACGTATAATCTATTAATTTAATGTAGTTTTAAAAGTCGCATAAAGGTGATATATGATTCTTTAAATAGGTTCGTATAATCTAATATATTAATTTAATGTAGTTTTTCATTTCTATAAAAATACGACAAAGTATAAGGATGTCTCCTTTGTATGATTTTTATATCTTCACCCATAGAAGAACCAATTATGTAAGTATGTATGTACATATATGCATCAGATCTCTCGAAATCATTCGCTTCCTAACTGATATAGTTGTAGAGTAGCTCGCCATTAATTCGCATTCATAGAACTAGTCATGACTATCAGATTGTTAATTACATCCACTCTCTCGTGCAAATGATATACGAATTTATGTTCGTGTCTGAAAAATTTCCCACGATATTTGCGTAATCTCTTGAAAGTTCATATTGTACCATCTAACATGGAAGTTCACATTGTATATTTTAATGCGATATTCTATTTAAAAAAGAATGGAAATTTCAAAAGTGTTTTTGCAACTATGTATATTTAATTAGAATACCTTGGATTATTAAATAATTCACTTTCACAGTAATGCAAGTAATATTTGTTACATCTTTCAGTTATTGATTATTCATAGCTCGTTTAATAAACTTACATTAATTTTTCATTCTTTTTTTTTTTAATATCGCATCGACAACTAAGCTTATTGCTTTGGTGAATTATAAAACAATTTCTGTGTTCAAGTTGATTGGGAATCTTGGCCAATTTATTTCTGCACATTCAGTAATTAAATGTCTTATTGTCGATTTTGTAACGCATTATGGTTAAAATTCCTTCGTGATTAAAAATTAGTGCTATATTTACTTAATATGTCCTATTAATAATCTGACTTGGTCTGACCTGTTGGCAGTTTCGGTGAATGTAAGTTTATTTTTCTACTTACTAAGTGCATTCGGTCAGGAACATTAATTTTTGATCATTGATGTACCGTGTCCACTACTATCTTAAAATATTATGTTCATTTGATAAAAATGATTTTTTTTCGAGCATGATTCATGAAACAGCAGAGATTGATTGACTCGATTCATTGAATTCAAAGAATTCGCGTTTTTGTCGAATTTCATTCGAGAAGTTTGTAGGGCAGAGAATAAAGACGGCGAACTTCCTTCGTCCCACGAGTGAAAGTAAAACAAAATCAATCGGCGGTTTTCAGCTGTTATAGATTGTGGGCCGTTTCTCTGACTATATTTTATTCGTCTCACAGCAATTTTTCCTCAGCATTGCTTTTGACTTTTCTGTCAACGATTACCGCGCGAAAATAAAAGCACAACAACGCATATCTTGTCCGTGCATTTCACTTTCCAATATCAAAATAACTTTCAGCAGCTTTGGAAGGCGGAGGATATTTGCTATATGAACCACGTTGTGTTCCTTTCATGTTGTGTTATGTATAGCGCTCGCAAAAAAGCAGAAAACTATTATTTCCGACATGAATTTTTTTGCATTAAAGGAAAATTTTGCAGACAATGTTGCATTATAACAAGTGAGTACACTGTGCTCTCATTTTCAGAAAATTTTGTACAAAAGGAAAGAGACACGAATGGTAATTGATAATTTGATAAATTTCATAAAATATAATGACAGTCGTGTTTCCTTGACGTTAATTATCTGTCAAGAAGAAGTTTTAGGTATCTAAAGATTAATTACTAAAATTTGAGAACTCGTATACTATCGAAATACTTTGTATATAACAAGTGATCTTGAAAAACATTGTACATATCTATATTTCAAGATATTAATTTTCATTCCCTAGCGACACTTGCATCCTTCGATTACTTCCGTATCTGTCGCTGTCAATGGATCTCAGGAAGGAAATTGTTTCCTTCCCTTTTTTTTTTTTTTTTTTTTCTCTCATTGAGGTACGTTGACTTCACTGAAAAAGGAAATGCCAGTTTACGATCGCCAGAAACAATGACCGATAAATATCGATTTAGGAACTTTTACCATGCACGACATTCTCATTTGCAAATTCTACCATTCCGTGATTATAGATTAGACTACGATCTTCCTACGATGCGCGTTTCTGCGAAGGTGGTGGTGCACTAGTACCGCCGCGGTGAGACACTCACCTTCACCTAGACCTTTCTTTCACCATGCAAGAGGGGATTTGTATATAAAAGCTCTCTGGATAGCAATGCCATCAGAAACCACAATTTCACTTACACACTCGGTTGTCACTTGGCCACGGCACGTACGACATACCAACAGAATAATCACGCTCAAAGGATCAACATGAGATCATTAGTAAGTCAATTAACATTCCTCACGTCAATTAATTAATATTCGTTGGCAATTACGTTTCAATTGCTGTGTAAAATTCGCAGAGGTTAATTCGATCCGAACGCATTTGTAGGTGCTATTGGTCCTGGTAGCGGTAGCTATTGCAAGCGTTTCCTGCAGGGAAACGAAGGCAGATAACCGACCATTCAGGCCACCGCCGAAGGGCAAGCGCGGCGTCGTTGAATATTCCGGCGGCGGATCCTCCTACAATTCCCCCCTCATAAGTACCGGATATAACGGCGGATCTTATTTGGGACATTCGGCGGGTATTCAAAACCTAGGAGGAGGCGGCATTCTCGGACACGGTTCCATAGGATACTCGCTGGGATCCGGGGGACTCACCGTCGGTCTTCAAGGGCTCAATTCAGGAGGACACTCCGGGCAATCCTCGTACGCCACGCCGAGTCTGGGCTCCGCCGGCGGGGGAGGAAGTATCGGCCTGTTCAGTTCGTCTTCCAGCAAGAACGGGCCAGTTACTTTCGGCGTGCACGGTGGCGGTGTTTCAACGAGCGGTTCTAGCAGTTACTCGGTACCAATCTACGCAACGGGAGGCCACGGATCGCCGTCGTACGGTAGCGGTGTCTCGAGCAGTATCAGCCTCCCGGCGATGTTGGGATCCGGGTACAGCTCCTCGTACAGTTTGCCGGGGGCGTCGTTAGGCTCGCTAGGCAGTTCCTCGAGTCACAGCCTGCCAATCCAATCCATTGCCCCGAGTTCGTCCTATCACTCGGTGAGCGGAGGTTTAGTAATTGATTCCAGCTCGCTTGGTAAAGGATCCTCTGGCTACAGCCTCCCCGTTTCTTCCTCTCACGGAAGCTCGTCTCTTGGCGGCTCCGGCAGCTACTCTCTCCCATTATCGTCGGATGGTTCCGCTAGTTACTCTTTGCCACTCTCCTCTGGTTCATCCGACTCTGGCTATTCCCTTCCCGTTTCTTCTGGATCGTCCATCTCCAGCTCACATTCCAATTACATACCATCGTCTTCCTCCGAAACGTCATATTCATCGGGTGGAAGCGCCAGTTACTCCGACTCGAGTTCCAGCTATTCCGGATCAATTTCCAGCTACTCCAATCCCAGCTCGAGTTATTCCGGCTCATCCAACGGGTACTCGACGAGCTACTCGGCACCTTCCACCTCGTACAGTATTCCAGTTGAATCTCATGGTTCCTATTCAAATCTGAGTCCTAGGTACGTTGCGTACACCGGCTCGAAGGGTTACGAAAATTCAAATATTGCCGCCGGCAATAGATACGACACGATCTCGTATTCCAGTCCAAGTGGGAAATATTAAATTGCCAAATTGTCCAACACGTACGAACACATACGATCCGAAATAAATCGGGAAACGTATGATCGATCGTGGCCGATTCTTGGACAAAGTCGATCGTCCAAGGATCGTACGACGCCGTGCTAATTTATATTTATGTATTTAGTGTAATTGTTTTATTTAAGACGCCATTGCGTATTGCGACGTTGTTTGCTTCGAGTATGCGTTTGGGTAACATTGATACTGCGATGTTTGTTTCATGTTGTTTATAATAAAGCGATTGTTTTTTTTTTTTTTTAATGTAACCTGCTGATTATCTTACACTCCTCTATTAAGTAAGTAGAATTTGTCGTGCACTCATTGGAAATATTTTACAATAACTTTCGATTGAACAATGAACGGTTATTGTGCATGTAAAGTATCTCGAGATATATCTCTTTTCACTTGATCGATAAAAGATTTCGTGGTTCGGCACGAAATGATTCGTCGAGCTGATTAGTTCTTCCAGCAGCTACTTTCGTTAACGTTACTTTTTTTTTCCCCCTTGTTGATACTTGCAGCTCACGACCGAAAGGTTTCTTTTTTATTTATACACGTTTTCACGGTGAAAGTATTATACGGCGAGAGAAGTAGAAGAGAACGGTCGTTACATGTAATAAGGATGAGAGCAAGAAACAGTGTCAATGCGTAAAAAGAGGATCACTTTTACTGCAAGGCCGGCCCTGGCGAAATGAGCGAATTCCTTTCTAAACTTTTGTTCTTTTTGGGAAAGTGCCCAACGAGTCGTATATACTGTACAAGCCGGTCGGTACTCGTCCCCCGGACCGGTTTAATACCATTCACGAGGAAACTATTCTTTTACCTCTGCCCTTATTCCTATGACAGTAACGGTACCGAGGCTGCTGATATTTTTGTCCGAAGAAAGCTAAACGTTTGAACAAAAAATGAATCGTCTCGTTCCACTCGACTTTTAACGAAACACACAAAGGCCAAGTGTTTTTTTTTTTATACATTATAAATTAGCCAGAGAATTTTGTTCAGAGACTAATCGTAAGTTCATCATACCCTCTAAACGAGAACGTGCATCGAAGGATTAAAATGATTGTTGGAAACTTGAAAAAATGTACGTTCATTTGAAAGAAAAAAAAAAAAGAAATTTACGTAGTACTGTGTCTAGCTGACTCATTTTTATTTTTAGAAAAGTTTTATGCGTATCTTTTGTACGGTTTTACTACTTTCAAAATTTTTGTACATTACTATTACTTACTATTGTATTGTATTACTATTATATTACATATTACTTGTATTACTGTTATATACTATTATATTATGTTACTTGTTAATTACTTTTACATTTTTATATATTAATACGTAGTTGTTTATTCTTCTATGTATATTCTCCTTCGTTTAATCCGCGGTGTAACGCGACACCGGCAGAAGAAAGTGCATAAATACAAGCACGACCCACTTTTCAACGATCGCACGTGGGCACAGACGAATAAATACGCGTCGCTGTTCAAAAACATGACGCGTACGAAAAAGCTCGAGCAATCCGAGAGGAGAGGGATCCTCTCCGTTCGAATCGAGACGTAGACCGGTGTTGTCGGTGTAAGTGATAGGAAAGTCACATTTCACTATTTCCCGACTGGTTCTACGTTGCGTTTCGCTCTTCAATCGGTGCCAGCGACGTGCCTTGAGCGAAAACTCAGGAGAATTCAGCTCTTACTCTTCGTTTAAGCGAGATTTATGTAGGTTGTTCGACAGGTTAAAACATCTTAATATCGAAAACGTACTTTGGATCACCGGCATAATACCGTTAATACGTGTCCTTTTTATCCGATTCCTATCCGGTGACTGCGTTGGAAAGGATACTACTTTCTCACGCGATTCAACTGCGACACACGGAAAAGCTGTCGGCCATCATTTTTACACCGTACGCCGAGTAAGATTTACTCTACGTTTGTTTATCACCGCGAGTTGCAACGATCGCGCCCGGTTATCGAAGGCGTGGCCGACGCGGCGAGGATTCGCAGCAGATCGATGCGGCGAACGAACATGGTGCCCGGGTGAAAGTAAGGCTACTCGAGCGGATGGACACTCGAGTGGACTGTGTGTGCGCGCCAATTGATCGCGAAAGAACATCCGCCTTAAAAGGCGTTCGCGCGGCCGGCAACTGAAAAGAAAAAAAAAATTTTCTCGCGGGTATCGCTCGAAGCGTTTTACTTCCGCCAGTCCGCGAAAGAACGGAAGCCGATCCGATTCTTCTTCGAGCGAGACACTTGCCGATTTGCTGCGATAATTGCTCACCGTCCGCTTTAAACGTCCGCTAATCTCGTTCGCCGTTGAACGAGAGCTTTCACGCTTCGCTCCGGCCGGCCCTTGTCTTTATTTCCTCCGTGGCAGGGATGGATCTGTCTCACCCGCCTCGCCTCGGACCAGTTCGCCGCGTCGTAGAGATCGTTGTTTTACTAGCCGGTTTTCACTGCGACCGGCCGTGCACCGGCTACGCTCGGATCTACATATAAGAACGGAGAAACGTTAAACTAGTTTCCACGATTTTTCAACCGGCCGAGTATAAAGGAGAAATTCAATGTCGGCCGATACATCATTAGACGTCGCGCCGGCGTGCCGATTCGATCCGTTCGAGCCGAGAGCAGCGTTGAGACGTTGAACACGATCGGCGAATGAGATAACGCGCGGAGAAACAGTCGTACAGATCAAATTCTTTTTTAATCATCGGCCACCAGGGACAGTGACGATCGATTGATATGGACTTGCTGGTCAGTATGAGGTTTCCATTTATTTTTCCATCGCGGTAAGCCGCTCGGTGGGCCCCGATCGTATAATCTGTAACTGGTAATTCGGAATTTCAGCTACTGTTTCTACTGTCGTCGGCGATCTTCGTCCAAGGATATGGGAAAAATAACGATCCGAACGACGAGCCCTTCCTGCCGATATATCCGGTTTATCCCTATAGTCCGAAATTGATGAAAAGGGGCGTGGAGAAGGAAACGATCGCGCAGCTATCGCCAGAATTATACGCGCCCAAAGTCGACGCCAAGGACTCTTACACCGCCAGTTTCGGCGCCAACCACCCCCGAGACTCTTATTACCCTAATTACAACCCGTATTCCAAGGTTACCTCGCCGTCCAACTACGCGTACTACGGTTCCCTCCCGTACTCGTATCAATCGAGCCCTTACAGCACGTACAATCCCTACTCGACCCTCCACGGCACGTACAATCCCTACTCGTCGCACACGGTGCCTTCTCCGCCGCCTTCTTCTTATCCAGCGATTCCTTACTCGCCCTCTTATCCTAATTACTACTACCAATCTCCCTATTACTACCCTGATTACTACAACCAGCCGCTGTTTCATCCGCCACCGTTGTCGCCACCTGCTGTCGATTACTCCGGCGACGCGTACAGCGACGTCGAGGCCGGCGGCAAAAGTAAAGACAGAAACAGGCAAACACAGGATGCACCTCAGTTCGTCGACGGAGCGAACTACATCTCTGCAAACCCGAAGGATCTCGAGGGTCAGCCGAGCACCTACAAAACGAGCAGCTATCAGAATCAGTTGGCTAGCGGAATCGGCAACCTGCAGATAAAAGGTATTCCGATCCCGGTGCCGAAAACCACGTACAGAGTGATCAGCGTTGCCGGACAGCCGGTAGGTCCTGACTACCCTTTGCCAGCGTCGTACGTGAAAGCGCAGCAGCTCGAAGAGCTGATGAATCACGGCCTGGTGAAGCTGTTGCAGCAAGTACCCGAGTACTCTGTACGCGAGTCGACGAAGGAGGCAACGACGACGACGACGACGAACGACGGCCAGGACGCGAGTCAAAACGATCAGAGCAAAAGCACGCGTTACCTTACCGTCCCGAGCGTGATCGCTAAAACTGGCTTGACATACGTCGTGAATCCCGGCGTTCTCAGAAAGTTGAACGTCGGACAGGCAACGGGCCAGATCGTTCAGACGTCGAAGACTCCGTTGAAAAATATCAAGTATCCACCGTTGGCTCCTGGTGTGTACACGGCGATCGAGAAGCCCGAGCAAGATCAGACCGAGTCGAACGAGTACGAGAAATACGAGAGTTACGAGAGGGCATCGCCGGACGCTCAGGACGACTACGACGTTTCGTCGAGTCAAGCCGATAAACAGCAGCAGCAGCAGAGCTACGACGTGAATTCCGGCCAGTCTTATCAGAATCAGAATTACGTCACGCCGCGGGCATACACTTATCAATACACCAGCTACAATCCAACGCAGACCACCTCTCAGAGGCAGTCGCAGCTGTACAAAAACAATCTGGACAGTGTGAATTTCGGCGTTAAGACGAAAGATGCTTGAGGTTTGGGTTAGACGAGAGAATGGAAGACCCGTTTGGGTATGGTGCTATGACTTGTTTGCCGTTTCAGAGTTTTATTTTTATACGACCAGCGTTGGTTAAGATTAGTACTGAGATATAGATATTTATAGTTATAGCGTGTTTTTCAACGGGAGCGTTAATTTCAAAAGAAAATTATGCACCTTATTTGGATATAAATTGTACGATTTCTTCTTTTTTCACGTCGATTTTTACGTTAGACTTGCTCCTCCTTCGTTCAGTTCGATGATACTTCACGCCAAAATGGTATTCACGAGGCTTTTACGTTCTACGTATGTATGTATGTATGTATACAAGCGTTATATCCACGTTGTTATTGTTATGGCAATAAAATGTTGTTGCTTTTCGTTCGCGTGATTTCTCTCTGGCTTCATCGTCGAGCGAGCCGTTTTCCCAAATCTTCGCCAGCTGATAGTCTGGCGAAATATCGACCAGCTCTGATATCCTTTCTATTATTTTTAAATACCAACCGGATGGCGTATCGAAATCCCATCTTACTCGAGTTGAACGACGCACCGTAAACGTGCACGGGTCGATGCACGGCCGGTGAACGTGTTTCAGTTCCAGCCGGGAATTTTCGACCTTTCGGGGATGCACGCGGGAAGACAAGAAGAGGCGCACGGCTGGCGAACGAAAGGAGAGGATGCAACGAGGAAACCCGGCAACGTTCGATTCGTTTGGGCGCGGTAATGGAAAGGGGAAGTGAGATTGCGATTCAGAGGAATCGCATGAACCGTGGCGTCGTGGCAGGTGAGAGAGAGAGTGGCGAGTTAAAGTATTTTGCTTTATTTTTCGCATTCCCGGCGAGTGTGCCGGTGGTCGAAAATAAAATCGGACGAGCCAGAGCCTCTTACTTTCTCACGACTGGGTTTTGATCTCGATCAACCGTATACACGGTGGCCCGAAAGCCCGACGGCGTTACTTTCCCCTTCCGCGTTTTTGTGTTTATTAACGTTTTAGCCGAAAACTTCCGAAAATCCGATCTACCCAATCACTTTATCTCGAAGAGCAACCATTCCGAATTCCGTTTGCCAAAATTTCCGGACCCTTTTGGCTAAAGCGAATTGGCTCTAAGCCTGCTTCAACTTTTTTTTTTTTTTTCAGCAGAGAACGTAATTTCGTTTCCATTCCGGGCGATTTCTTTTGCTCGCAGTGTAAATCAGCGCTTGGACGAGCTTGCACGTAGCGCGTTGTTAAGTTTGTATAAAATTTCGATTTCAGTTTTCAACTGTCTCGCCCCAACAGTTGTAGAGAAAGTGATTGCCACTCGGAGAACCAAGTTACGACGGAATTATGATCCCAAAATTGTCAAGGTACAGTTGAGAAAGTTCCACGACTTAATTGAAGGTAATTCGACTGACGGTACAAGTGAGGCAGTCATCGTTTATTAGATCATTCTCTCTGCTTCCACACCCAGAATGCGGATAGAAAGTGTTTTTTTTTTTTTTTTTTTTTTCTTCTCTTCTCGTTCGACGAGCGTGTACACTGGCACACCAGTACTTATAGCCGGAGGAAAGGGTTTGCGGAAACTCGAGTCTCAATGGCGAATCGTTCCGCGCAGGGAGAAAGATCGACGAAGAGATTGATGGACTCCTTTCCCTCCATTAATTGCAAACAAATTTTTCGAAGGCTATTGAGAGTGAAAAGTAAACTGCTGCTTTTTCCTCCGTGCTCCTTTCGTGCATACACGCACTTCGCGCCGCCTTCCTGCAAATTTCACTTCCACACGGAGAAAAATTTTACCGCGGATGCCGTTTTACCAGTCATTTATTAGAGCATCACGCCGGGACTTAACATACACGTTTAATAAATCGCGTGAATGTTTTCGTTTATAAGAGTGGTTAATGCCCCATTGAAATTCCCTTCTTGAAACAATACGCGAGACAATGGCTCCAGACTCCGCCGGTCATTAAGTTCGACGATCATTAAAATCTCGTCCTGAATACATTGAGCGCACCCTTCAATTGTTCGCGTAAAGTATCTATCGCGGCTTCGTGTCCAGCGTTGTTAATTCTTACGAAAATTGCTCGCTTTGATTCATAAATTCTCGAGCGTCGCATAAATTTCTGCCCATGCGCCGCTTATCTACCTACGGAATATTCGCCAAAACAGGGTCAAAACTGCTCGCGTTGTACAGGATGTCCATAAAGTCTCGTTACGATTTCAAAAATTTATTCCAAAGGCAAACGAAAAGACAGATTAGTGGAAATTATTACAGAATGAGACGTACTCGATTTCTTGCCATGTTCGCTGTAGCATACACTCATCAATGGTGGCAATGGCATAACTAATCCTTTACTTTAGATTAGTGACGTCCCGTACCTTTGTTCTTTAACATAACCCCGTGTGGATGTCCATAAAATTTCTTTACAATTTCAAAAATTTATTACAAAGGCAACTGATGGGATATCTTTGTCAGATTTGTTCCATGTACTCGGAGATTATCAAAATTTTTATCACATTGCATTTTAGGTACCGTGTCGATGAATAAGATACGGTTAAATGAACCTCTTACAAAATGGCTACTGCTCAAGAGAAGGCACTGTGTGTATCATGGTTTATTGAAACCAAATCGGATCTGCAGACTCGGCGAAACTTCAGACCTAGGTATAGAAGAGATCCAGCGTCCATCAATTCGTGCATGGCACAAGAAATTTATGGAGACAGGGATAGTGTTCGATAAAGGGAGAAGTGGACGACCAAGAACATCTGAGGAAAACACGTATCGTGTAAGAAATCGAATACCGTCTTGTTGGCGCCGATATAGAAGTGGGCTATTAAATGAGGCAAGAGAAACTTAAATATATACGTCTTATTTTGTAATAATTTCCACTTGTCTTTCTCTTCATTTGTCATTGTAATAAATTTTTGAAACTGTAAGGAGACTTTATAGACACCCCGTATTTTCTGCGATGTTTCATAAATGCTGTCGAATGCACGATAAGTACAAACATTAGCTAATGAACCGATTAACTGACAAAGTAATTGATACAATTTTGGCAAACTCGAAACAATCTACAAGGACGCAGCATTCTAACCGAATCAACGTCTTCCACTGACAATGAATTTGGCAGGGTTCGATCCGGATGGAAATTAGAAAGATCTACGTAACGACCAGTTTCCGATCTCCGCGTTGTATATCCTCGTTCCTATTCACTTTTCACGATACCGTTCTCACAAGTAAACGTTTATTTTTCTTCCGTTAAACGTTGGCAGTTATCGCGGCCGGTATCGTGGGAAATACACGTCAGTCGAGGAGAAACTGAAAATTAGAAAACTAATATCTCTCGGGATAGATACGTCATTGATATCTCAATTGTACGGATTAAGTTGTATCGTCCGTCGTTACACACGATCATTTCATTTCCCTTGATACTCCTCTCTTTGCTTTGTGCGTCGTGTCGTCGCGTTTTGCGACTTTTAATCACGAAAGGGATGATCCAGCTCTTCGTTTGCACCCGAGTCGGGAAAATATTCCCATCACGTGGTCCAGGAGGGCCACTAAAGACGTTGTAATACACGAGTGAAATGTGCCACGTCGAGATACACATACATACTACGGGTAGGGGTAAAGGCTATATAAGAGAACGTGAATCTACTTTGGGTTTGTAGTAGAGCTAGAATCTTCGGGTCGCGGTCGTACTTTCTGAAATTAAAGCAACATGGTAAGTCCTACTTTTGGATCGGTTCATATCTTAATTATCGATGTTTTTTATCACTTTGAGTTACACGTTAGTGCCTTTCACTGTATCTCATGGAAGTATTTTATGTACATACATACGTTATTTGTTACAGAGAATATTCTGAAATTTCATCAATGATTAGATTGCACATTTTAAAAAGTGCAAAAATACACAGAACACGTGATATGCAGAACTATATAAAGTACGCAGAACTATATAAAGTATGCAAAATTTAGCACTGTTATCGCTAGGTGAAACAAATTTCTGTTCAAGTTCTGTTATTTTATTTTTCAAAATTCTGAATTTTGCATGAATATGCTAAATTTGAAAATATGCATATATAGAAGTTACAAGATATTTATTGCAAATGTTATATTTAGTAAACAATTAATGTACAACATAAACAGTTATTTAAAATATATAATAAATATTAAAAATATTAAAATTTGTTAGAATGTAACTGTGCTGAACAATGTTTTTTCAATGTATTTACATTATCTAATGTTTTTCAAACATTATCAATATAATCACAGTAATGTTAATGAAATTTCAAAATCTTTTGTACAACATAATACATTTATAAAACTTAATAAATGTAGTAATGTATATGTATAAGTGTCTAAATATTTTTGTGAAAGACTATACATATATATAGTAGTGGATCTAACCCTTAGAAAGTCTGAAGGTAACATTGGGAGTTTATTTTATTTTAGAACTCATGAGCCAAAGCAAAGAACAATTAATTTTACGAAACATTTAAAGCAAAATTTTATACATTGCACACAGTTGTCATGTAAAGAATATAATAACCGTAAAAGTATAATAATTATAAGAACGTAAATGCATACTGCAAATTATTTAATCGTTCCATCACGCGATAACGATCGAGTTGCATCATTTTCAATTGACAAAATGATTCAAAAAAATTCAATTGATTTGCGAGCATAGTTGTTTTATACTATATATTTTTTTGTTTTTATACTTTATTTTCATAGTTATTCCGATAATTGTTTAATCATTTTTTGGAGGATCTCATAGTGTTCCAAAGCGCTTAGCTTAGCATTTTTAGCAAGGTGAATCGTGCATGTAATAATACAAATTAATTTTAATTTGAGTTGAATTTGACTTATTGATAAATTTTAAAACCTAAACGTGTCTGTCTTGACAATACTCGAATCGTTCCAATGAATATAAGAACTGTGAACTTTTAAGACCTAAAAGTGTCTGTCTTGACGATATTCGAATCGTTCCAATGAATATAAGAACCGTGAACTTTTACACCTGTAACAATGATGCGCTACATTTATATTTGGGAGGGGGTGACCCTCCCCCAGAGGCACTGCATTCGGGCATAGTGTATATAAGAGTGTTTCATACCGACTGTTTGACCCAGAACTTCGTGAAGGAACAGTGAAAGTACATCCCGATGCAAGTTCATTTCTTGCCGATGGCCACAATGGTTAAGAAGCAAATATAGAATCAAATTTAAATAATTGGCCAACATTTGTGGCCAATCTTCGCTCGTAACGCGTATAACTGAATTATTTTGACAGGGGAATTATTTTGCAGTTTTTCACTCACACGATACTTTGTTTCATTTTACAGAAAATTTACTTGATACTGGGCCTGTTGTGCATGGGCGTGACTGGAGAACAGAAGATCAACTTGGACGACATAGAGAGAGATAATTTGAGAGTGGAAGGTATATCGAAGTCCGGCATTTCACAGTCCGAGGGATCAAAATATCTCGCGAAGCCAGTAATTGGCCAGCAACAGTACCAAATACCAAACCAATATCGTGGACCACCACCACCGCCATCACCACCAGCTGGTTCATCAGTTACATATGTAACTCCTCCACCGGTGCAAAATGTAAAGTAGAATTCGTAAGGTCAAATATCACAAATTGCGTAGAGAATTATGTAGAGTGATCGCGGGACAAGCAGCTAATCTAAACGCTGCGTGCGAAAATAAATTGAAAGCAAAGAACGATGTTTTCCTGTTTTGAGAAAATCAAGTTTGAAAATTTGTTAAGTATACTTAACCGTTGGCTAAATATAATTTAGACGTGAGTGAATAATCGACAGGATGCACTACGTGCCGGAACAAGTGAGATTTTTTTTTAAAACGACAAAATTCTTTCAATGGAGGCTTTATATTTAGTAAAATAGAACTTGAACATGTTTAGTTAAGAATCGTCTTGTTGCACGTGTATTCCATCAATTTTCAAATTCGACAGTTGGAGCAATTTAAAGAAAAATATTAATCTACGTTTTCGACCTGTTTTCATATTTGGAATTAAATAGAGATTCAAGTATATCTAAGAAATTTTGATACGAAGTCTTAAATAATTTAAGTAAAATGATTTTGTTCTTTCATTTCCACTTATATTTATGTGTAAAATCATCGCCCGATCGCTTGTGTTCGATCTTTGCTATTATCCATAATTAATTGAATTATCTGTAATTATCTGAATTAACGTATCCCCTCTTTATTTAGTACCCGACGGAAACGTACGTTCAACCTGGCAAATACGCGAAGAAAGAGCAAATTTACCAGCAACAGAACAACTATCAGGAGCAAATATTACCACAACGATATTACAATGAATATCAACAGGAACCGTTGCTATTTCCGAAAAGGATCGCGCCAAATGTCTACGAGTCGCAGCAATTGGCTTACCAGCCGGAAGTAAATATTGGCAATCAGTTGCAGCCTGTTCAGCAGAAAGTGATCTCACCGAAGTTTACGAAAAACGTGAACAAAGGTATTGGCAACGTGAGGGGATCGCGGCCGATTCAACATTGTTTAACCTTTCGCTAAATTTTTCGTAGGCCAAGAGTACGTCAACATCCCCATGATGCATCTTTTAACTTATTACCCGAATTTAAACGTAAATTCCGGTAAAACCAATGGGTTATTCGTACCTCAATTAGCAACAACAGCGACCAATCATATAAGCATTCCTGTCTACACGTCAACGCTAAGTCAAAGGCCAGTAGTTTCTGCCAGGCCAACGTATGAAATACAGTACACTCCAAAACACAATGCCGCTGTCTCGAATAAGGTTAATGTATAGAGAGAAATAATTCTTATATATTTTTTAACATAGAATAATATAGAATAAGAAAGAATATAGAAAAAAAAAATATATATATATATAGAATAAGAAAGAATATAGAAAAATATATATATATAAATATATAGAATAAGAAAAAATATAGAAAAAAAATATATATATAGAATAAGAAAAAATATAGAAAAAAATATATATATAGAATAAGAAAAAATATAGAAAAAAAAAATATATATATATATATATATATATGTATAGAATAAGAAAGAATATAGAAAAATATATATTTAGTATATAATATATAAAAATAAAAATATATATATTTTTTAATATTTAGTACAGAATAATTCTTTAAATTAATTTTTTAACATATAGATTAGTATACAATATTAATAGTAATTCTTAACTTTGGAAACGACGGTGCTTAAACTTCCATTGTTTTAGATAACGAAAGGCGCAGCTTATACGGCTCCGGTTAATTCGAAGAGATTCTCTGGTTCACCAGCTGATTCACCGGCGGATCAAACGTACGCTCAAGGAAGGCAGTTTTTGTACACACAAGCGTACATTGCACCGTCCCAGCCACAGTACGTTTCTCAGCTGGTGTACGCTCAACCCACAGCAGTTTATATGCAAGCCACGCCAGTTTATAGTGACGTTTACGTTCATCCGTCTAACTACGACCAAGACAATTCTTTGCAAGGCAGCGCGAGGTACACCGCCCCGGTTGAACAATTGCAATCCACGGTAGCAATTGCCGACGAGTTGCCGAATCAAGGTCTGGGACAGCAAAGCAGTCAGAGCGTGACTCAGAATTACATCAAGGTTAGCAGTCGTGCGAGAGAGCAAATGAAATTTGTAACAATTTCTTTTTGCTATGGGCAAATATATATTTATGTCGTAACGTTAGGAAGAACCGGATGAACTGAACACTGATTTAGTGCCACCTCAGATACCACCACAGGATTTTAAATCTGATACCGAGAGTGTTTCGTCGCAAGATGAAGAACTGATTCCAGAACAAAATCATGTAATTTCGTCGGAACCTGCATCACTGTTGGACTCGTACGTTCCAAGCAATGTTATCGCAGCTCAAGATTCCTCTAGGTATGAAATTATTTTTTACAAATGTATAAATTTACAATGTATAAATTATAGTACGTCAGTACGTTTGTCAAACGCCTGTTACAGATATCAAGAAAGGCCAATAAAGCTGGAGAGAGGCTTTCTCCCATCGAAAGAAAATTTCTTGTACAAGAAACGCAAAGTTGAATAATCTTTATCTGATAATTAGTGGTCGTTGAATATAATGGTCAGTAGATAATGTTAACAGAAGTTTCGGCATTTATTGTTGCTTAGAAACGAGTGAAAATATATCGCCGATAATAAATGGCGTGGCCATATCTAGTCTTTTGTCGAAGATCGTTAAATTACAAGTATACTAATGTTTAACTTTGCCGTTCTTCCCTTTTTTTCATATATCCATGAATGTATGTTTCACGTTACATGATTCTTAATAAATTTTTATTAAACCTCATTGTTTTATATAGTTTACTACATTGACCTCACAATACATAATGTCTGTTAAAGTACTAATCATCATAATTTTACATCGACTCAAACTCCATAAATTCGTAATTGAATATTTCAAGAGAACAAGTAGAAAGGAAATTTATTTTTATTTCATTGTAGACTGAGTTGTTTCACATTTGCAAAAATTAATAAAATAACAAAATCCTTAAAAATATTACAACTTTGTCGCACAGAACACGCGACGCACTCGTTAAAATTTAGTAATTAAAATTATTTGAAAGCTTCGGTTTAAACATTCTGTCTACTTTGACGTTAAATTTTGACACGCGGAACAAGCGACGCACTCGTTAAAATTTAATACTAAAAATACCAGAAACCTTCGGTTTAAACATTCTATCTTCTTTGACGTTAAATAATTTCTTCTTCAGTTTCATAAAACCATTAACGGCGTTACATATTTTAATAGAGAGCCGTTGACACAAAGTACATACGTACAGGAGAACAAGCACAAGCACAGACACGGATGCCGGTGCGACGTGCCAAAACGAGAAAGCGGACTCTGAGGAAAAGAACCAATGGTGTAGGCTTTTGAAATTATTGTCAGAGTTGAAATTAATAGTGAATTGCAGTGTGACAGAGATGTTGATTCTTTTTCCCTCTTGTTCATTCGCACTGTCCACTAATTAAGAGAAACATTATCACGGTTACGTATAAAAATTAATATAGAAAGTAAAAGTAATTCAAAGTAGTTTCACTTTTTGACCCAGCAATGATGCAATGCTAGAAATTTGCTCAAATTTACGGTTAATTATTCGTTTCATCGAGTTTCACCGCGTCGATTGCACAACGTACCGGTCAATTAGGAGGAAAAAATATGCGTGATAATTAATTTTCGGTGTTTTTCTTTTTTTTCTTTTTAATCACATTACCACGACGAAATAATTAGTCTCAAGTTCGTGACGAGGATGAGCACGCGGCTGCAGCGATATCGCTACGCTACTGGCAGGTGTCTTTCCATATGTATCGAACGAAGAATGTCAGTGTGTTACAGCGGTGAAACTATAATCGTGGTGTCCCTCTCGTGGTTCGAGCGAAGGCATATAAGGTGGGATGTAGCTGCCACTGCTTCATCAGTTCCAAATACACGCGAGAAGATCAAGAGTGCGAAGCGTGCAGGTTTAAGGTCGATCCCCGGCATCATGAAGATACTCGCGACACACGTAAGTACGCCGATTTCTCGCTTTTCTTCCGAGAAACGTTTCACACCTCGAAAATTCACGCGCCAGTTGGTCGATCCTGGCACGAAACATTTTTATAAAAACGGCAAAATGAATAGGCACGTTATATCTGTACGCTCTAGTCACTTCATTCATGCAGATTCATGCTCCAAGGATACAAATTGCGGGGTGAATCGGTAGGAGGAACGAATAACAGTTTCACGTGCGCGGAATATAGCTTTTACCTTATCTCGTTTATGAAGAATTACCCTTATTAGTTCCTCTGAATGTCCAGGATAATAGCACGAACGACATTATTCGTATGCGTCCGCGCGTACGTTCCTCAACTGATCTCGCCGTGTTTTTCGTACAATTTCGCACAGAGTACGTCAACGTCGACTGAACGATAATACAGCTGGTTGCACCAGTTTTGTTCACTGTTATTTTTGTTAACAGCATCAAGGAGACGAGTCAATAAAATTAAATTAGCCATTGTGCTCAATGTACGCAGGTCTGTCTGTCATTTCACTGATAGGTTCTTCAGATTCTTTCTGTCGACGAGATAATCCAGGCTTCTCCGAGCTTGGTCATTAGGGAGAAAGTGTTTCTTATTTTTTTCTTCTTCGATCCACAGTCGTGTTCGTCCGGCGAAGTAACCGTGACAGATGCTCTTAAGCAAGTCAGTGAAAGTCCTTGAAGGTATTCGGGCAATAACGGCTCTCGAGCTGCCATAAAGTTTATTCGGGTTGTACGTTATTAGGTAACGGTTGATTTCCTACTTGCTCGGAAGATAAACTCGAGTGAAAATGATGCGACGAAACTCTCCCCGTTCGCCGAACGATTCTCTCTGTTACGAAACGCCGAGCGATTTCAAAATTAAATAATTCCCATGATAATCGGCCCGTGTGCAAAACAAGTGTAACGCGATTCTAGTTGCACCTTTCAACTAACTTTCATACCTGTCTCCTCGAGATTATTAACGAAGAAACTCGAGATTTACTACAACTACGAGCAACTTGTTTACGATCTTTCAAGTCTTACGATATTTCCACCGTTCTTCGACTCGAAATACGTTTGCCAATGAAAGCGGTGAAAATCACGGAGTGCGCGCCAACATGAAACTCGTTCTCTCAACTTGGCCTCAACTGCGACCTTGTAAAAATTCGCACCTTTCCCTGCCAAGGTCAGCCTGCAAGAAAGTATCGATTTCCCTTCGATAATTACAGGCTTGCTGCTTTGGTAAACGCTCGATGTTAAGAACAAAAGGTCCCGGCGGAGAAGGTAAAGGAAGCGAGGTGAAAGTAAAATTATCATTAGCGGAGCATCGAGCCACGATATCGATAACCACGTTACTGTACGCGTCCGTTAGACCGTCAACCCGTTGATTTTTCACGCGCTTTCCGTTGCTTTCAGACAGTGACTGAAAACCGAAATATTTTGAGGTTTAGGTATTATACCGGTAAACTGAAACCGAAATATTGTAGGTTTATGTATTATACCGATAAACTGAAACCGAAATATTGTGAGGTTTAGGTATTATACCGGTAAACTGAAACCGAAATATTGTGAGGTTTAGGTATTATACCGGTATTTGGAAAATCGGTTTTAACACCGGTATATACCACTTTACTGACGAAAACCCATTTTTCATTTTCTACGTACAGTGACTCTTATCAATATTCGGACATCATGCTATTCAAAATATTGTTGTGGATTGTTCGATTGTTTATAATAGTAAATTTGGATTAATTTTTTAATAATATAATAAAACATTCGTTACAGTTTATAGTAACATAAATTTTATTTATTTATTGCACATACTTTCCTTAATGTCAAACAATAAACTGAATTACGTCGAAATGTAGCGTGGGAGATACAACGATGAATTAGTATTAGAAATAATTATTAATAATAAAGGATAACAACGTATAAATATGGTAATGATTAAAAACGAGTATATGAGAGAAAAGTAAACATTTTATTCTTGATTTCCTCGAATAATTAATGTATTATTTATACAATCGTCATGTAAATTGTAACGATGCGGCGATGAAATATATTTTACAGACGAAAAAAGGCGTTCGACGCTTACTTGTGTTGATGGAACTGCTAAAATTCCTGCTGTTAGGAAAACTCAGTTCCCATCTCGGACATCCCTAATTGGCCGAGTCGTTTTTGGATTTTAACCGATTAGGTTTTTTCAAG